GGGGGGGGAGGGCACCCGGGCTCTCCTCTGCTGCAGGGGAGGGGTGGAACGGGGTTGGGTGGGGAAGGCAGGCCTGCCTGGAGAAGTGTGCGTGTGGGCAGGGGACTGGGGATGTGGTTCCACGCCTCCTCTCTAGAGCAAAACCTCTTGAGCCAGCTCTGCTGTTGCTCTCGCTCTGCTTGGGGTGGCCAAGACGGGGTTCCTGGGTCCAGCAGCTCCTCCACAAGCAGCAGCTCATAGAAGGAAGGCAAGGGGGGAACCTCCTACCATCTCCACCCTTCACCCCACAGCGAGAATGGCCAGTTGGGGCCAGTGGTGCTTTGGCTCCCCTCAACACAAAACAGGAAGCTGGGGAATCCTCCCCTTCAGCACCAGCACCACTGCCAAACGCCCCAGACGGTGAAAAGGGCTAGCTAAGCCAGGCAGCAGAGCCACCTTCTCTTCAAACAGCACAAGACAGGCAGGAAGGCAATCCGCACTTCCACCATCCACATGGCCTGTCTGAAAAAGGCCACGATTAACTCAAAGATGTATCGCCTCTCTCCCAACAGCTACCTTCCTCCTCCTCACTTCCTTTCAGGAAGAAACAGGCTTGAATGGCTGGCATTGCTGCTCTCCTAAGTTCCACCAATGCCATGTTGGCAGGGAGAGATGTCTCCTTCCCCCACTGCCGAGAAAGGGACATGCCCGAAAGTGCAGCAGATGACCTCTGCGAGCAAGCGTGCTCTCTCTTTCCTCTCTCCACCCCCTCCTCCTCCACAGTGAAAGTAATGGGCCTGAACACCAACATGAGTGCCTTCACTGTGTCCATCCACCTGGCATGGCATCCCAAAAGCATCCAAGACATCGGGAGCAACCAAGACATTTCCCCCCATCCTCCACTAACCAAGCACAAATGGCATGCTTTCAGCCTTTACTTATCTAGCTGGGGAAGGGAAGGGAAGGGAAGGGGAGGGGAGGGGAGGGGAGGGAAGGGGAGGTTGTCCTGGTGCCGAAGTGGGGAGTGGGCTCTTCAAATAATGCAGGAGAGGCCACAAGAACAAGGAAGAACTAGGCTGGGCATGCAGCACAGAAAAAGCCATGTGCAGCCAGATTCTTGTCTTGCTGAGAACAGGTAGCAGGAAAGGCCCGGGTGGGTTCACGTACATCCAAGTATCTTAAGTAGACACTCTTGTTCTGAATTCTCCCAGGTCGCAATCACAGCTCAGTCTGGAAGAACAGCAAAGCATCCCAGAGCATCTTAAAGCGAATGACATGACTCGAGGCTGCAATAAACAGCTGCCTAGGAATGTGTCCGATGGAATGTGGTGGTATTGCTTAGATGCGGATAGGATTGCACTAGAAGGCAGTTCAGTCAAACATCTGCCCAACTCATTCCACTCAGCCTGCTTGGGATTGAGGTTCCCTGTCCCTTCGGCTTTCGCAGAGCAGATTTCACTTTGCAAGACTTTGTTTTGGCTCACTTAAGTGGTATCAAAATTACTTTCAGCTTTAACTTAATTTGGAGCCAAGATGCATCAAGCATGTTACTACATTCACACAAAGAGAATAGCTGGTTCTATACATTGCAATTATTTAAAAAGGTAATATATAAAAAATAATCAGACAAGTACTGTGGTAACTTCTCTAATGTCCTCTCACCTTCTTCTTTTTCTTTTTCTTCTGTGACCCATCTTCAGTAGAAGACAGTTTTTTGCTCTTCTTTTCTATAGAACATTTAGGTCAGGGGAGAAAAAAAGTCAGATCACAGCTTTTCAGAAAGCAGTGCTATCATCAGTCACAAAACATGCACCCAAGGGGCATGCAGCTTGTTTTCAAACATAGTTGCACTTTTGGAAAAGTTGTGAGAGCTTGATTTTCTTGAGAACAATGTATGTGCTTCCCACATGTCTCAAGGGACACATCCATTTCCCCCACCCTCCACCACCAGAAGTTTCCCACCTCTGGTTTAGATATATGAAAACAACATGGAAATATTAATCTACTAATGCAGGTGACAGGTCCCTGGTGAAACTCCTGCTTGGTGCCACCTTCCCTGAAGGCTGAATAGAACACACAATCTGCTCCCCCCTTCCAGGCAGCTGAGCAAGTCAGCATTCCTAGGTGGGCTGCTAGGGGTAAGGCCAGGGAATACGGGCCCCACTAGAGAGGAACAGGAAGAGATGGTGTTGATTCTACTGCAGGCACCAAGGGAGGAAAGCCTCAGTGTGAAAATACAGATGGCTTGGCTGCTGGTGGTATAGAAATTAAATAAACACACAAACAGGGGAAAGGCGCAATATATAAACTAGCGGTGTTTTTCCAAAGGCTGCGCATGGGAGGGAAGAAGAACAGAGAGATCTTCTCATTCCTCGGTTTCCAATCCCTATAGTTTGGGGAAATCTTTAAGTTCAGTGAACTTCTCGGGAGAAATCATTTTTGAGATCACCAAGCCTGCTCCTGCCGGGGCTCCAAAGAGGCAGCGGTTTGGGTTTGAACAGAGAAGCACAAAAATGCATGGGAAAAACTCACAGTAGCCTTCATGTCAACACTGGATTATAAGATGCCTTTCTATGTAGAAGTGGCCACAAACAAGGAGAGGACAGCTGATTTCATCTTGGGGGACACCAACAGGGAACCACAATCTCTATGCTTATACATCTGAGCTTCTCAACATGGCATACGTAACAAAAGCATGTCAGATGCAAGAAGCAAGTCTTGAGCTGTACATTAGAGGACCAACCTGGCTAGCTTTGAATAGGATCATGTTAAGAACCAACAGCACTCCAGGATCCTCTCTTTAAATGTGTCAGGACGTTCACCACTTACTGAGTAAAAGCAAAGATGGGATGCATTTAGCCCAAAGTTTGACTGGTGTGGTGGATGTTGTAGCTTTAAAACTTGGGAGCTGGTAGTCCAGAGAGACAACCCTCCCTTCCTGCAGCTTGCAGAATACTTGTCCATGACCGCATTCTTGGGGAGGGGAGAGCACGGTTCAGTGTCAGGGCAACTGCTTCGGATGCTGAAGGCCCCAGGCTTGGTCTTCAGAGCATGGAGAGCCATGGCTGCCAGTCAGTGTTGTCAATATGGGGCCAGAGGGTCCCATGGTCTGCAGCTTTATATGTTCTAATGCAGGACCGAAGTGAGAGCTCTGGATGCTGTGGTGGCAAACCAGCCTTCTCCCTCCACAAGTACCAAGTTAGCTCTTCTCTACCACCCTTATTGTGCAGACACAGACCTTTTCATTCAAGTAGGCCTTTGGCATAGAAGCAGAACTGCTGAGCCAGATGGTTGTTTTAATCTTATTGTTGCAATTTTCAGTGTGCTTTTGATGAATGTGTTCTCTTAGCATTTTAGTCAAGTTTTTATTTACCTATGGTTGTAATTGGCAGTAAGTGCCTTTATCTTGGTAGAAAAGTGCGCAACCAAGGAAATAAACATCTCCAACCAGGGGGCTGAAATCAAAGTACATCTGGAGGGCACCATGTCATAAATGGGTAGTCCGTCCCCCATGGATGCAGACAGTTCCTTGTTGCAAAGCCACTGAAATGGTCTCGATATGAGAACTTTCTGGAAGAGCTGCGGTGGGGGCATTTGACTCCCGTGATCTTGCTTCCCTCTTTAAGTAAGGGTTTGCCAATCTTAGGAATTGGCTTGGGGAATGCAGAACCGAATCCGAAAGAAGCCCAGAGAACACTTCTGCTTTTGTACACAAGATACATTAATATAGTTTTCTAGTCATGGATGAGGTCCATCAAGGGACTGGCTGAAAGCTTGCCTTGACTGGCCAAGGAAGCACTGGTGCAAGCACAGATGCAGCACACCCTGTTTGTTTTCATAATAGGGCTTTGTTCTCCAGTTGCTGGATCAACCCTGCCCCATTTTGCAGACACCAATCAAGGGAGGCAGAGCAAGAAAGCAGCACAGAGATGCTTTCTAACAGGAAAGGGGTATTATATTAAGCTCGCTAGAACTGGAGTATCCAACCCACAAATGTGCCGTGCAAGAGCTTGTCTGCTGCATCAGAGGCCTTCCCCAGTTTTCTTTCCCACCCATTCCATCTCCCCTTCCCATCCTTTGCTAGAGTGGAAGGCTAGAGGCCCTTATGACCAGCAAGAAACACACAAGGAAGAGGAACAAAGAAAGGCTTAGCAGGAGCTGCACGGAGACAAGTGCTCCCTCTTAATGGAGTAGTGAAGAACATTCAGTGACTCACTTGTTCGCTGCAAGAACAGCCCTTTGCAGTGTTAAAATGCAATGTTTAATGCTGAGTCCTCTGCACACATATTCATGATCCGCCCAATCACTGCTTCGTGCAACAGAAAAACACCAGCAGCCCTTGTTGCTGAAATGTGTTTTTTGTCGTCAGTGAAGCACGTGCCTGGAGCTGGGAAAGCAGCCCCCATTTCAGGTTTAAGCTCCTTTTCCCAGAAGGCAAAATATGTAATTTTTTAGCTCTCTGGCTATTCAAGTTCCCTTTGAGCAGGGTTGAGCCTCTTCCTCCTCCCTGCTTGCCTGTCTCCCTTGCTATGCACAGGGTGGTGGAGTTTTGTCCCTAGATGCATTGCAAAGGACAAAACTGCAGAATGCTGCTTTAAGCAGGGCTGCTACTGTAACAGGAAAGGTTTGGCTGTTCAAGGCTGCAACTGCTGCTGGGGAAGACAACAGGGAGCAGAAGGTGGCGGATATCATGGGACAATTTATATGGAGATAAAAGATAACATATGTTACGCTTGTTCTTAGTTTTGCTTTTCCATGTAGTATTTAAATGCCGCTTTTCCAAAGCAGGTTGCAATAAAGAGAAAATGCAAAGCAACCAAAAACAAGTGATAGAACTTGGACTGTTGCTTGGTCTCATGAGTTAAAGGGAAGTTCTTGAATAGCTGCATCCAAAACAATAGTAAGTTTGCAGTGGCTTGGCACGAAGAGAAAAAGGAGCCCCGGTATCTGGCTCTGGATCATGATCCCAACTAGAAAGCCCCAGGGCAGAGGGATGGAGCAGGTTCCCTTGAGGCACTGTTCCACTCTCTACTTGCTGCCACCCATTTCGAGGACCAAGCACAGAAACAACTATTCCCAGCCCGACCACTGACTTCCTGAGGAACTCAAAGCTATCTCTGGAGGGTTAGGGTTAGAGCAGACCTTGCTCTGCTGCAGAGTAACTTTCTGTCTGAAATGCTGAAGACATCCCTTCAGCTGCTAATGCAAGTGCAGATGAAGCTTTGCTGCAAATAAGCAATGTCACCCGAGACCACCTGGGGGCAGCAGAGTGCCCTGAACAGAACAAACAAAAGAGGGCAAGAGACATCGCTTAGCATGAAGTTCAGGCGCATGCATGTGGGTGGTGCTCTTACTCTTTCTGGACTTCTTCTCTTTGCCCTCTTTTTGCTTTGGTGTTTTAGTGCTGCCTGGAGATTTGGACTTTTTCTTTGCTTTCTTCTTCTTTCCCAGCTTCTCTAGGTCACTTGGCACTTTTGGCTTCTTCTGTTGGGGCTCCCCTGCAGCAGCATCCCCAGCTGCCAGTTTCCGTTTCTTGGATGGCTTCTCTTTCACCCTCTCCTTAGGTGGCTTGGCTGTCTTTGGAAGGCTGGCTGCAGAAACAGGGGCGTCCTGCACGTCCTCCGGGGCTCCTGCACCAGCAGCGTGGGTGAGAGCCTCCCCCTCAGCTGCAGAGCTGACACCCGCAGGGCAGGCTTTGGAAGACAGTGGCAGGGGCAACAGGGGTGAAGGAGCTCCTTTAGCTTTGCCGTTGCTCTCAGCCTTTGCTGTAGATTTCTTTGCTGCAGAGGCTCTGGGCACGACGCCTGCTCCTCTCTTCCTTGCCACGGCCTCCTTGCCTGCCTTGGCCACAACCGCTTCCATTCCAGAGGAGGGCAATGAGCTGATCCCTGCAGATACAAGTTGAAACAAAGGGTGACACCTGTTCTTTAGGGTACCATCTTTGTGTGTTTAGATAGGTTTTTAAAAAGGCCTACAACTCTCAGCTATGTTGGCTGGATCCTGTTGGGAGTGGAAGGCCTTTTCTCTTGTTTCAGCGTGCAAAGGACAACACATTTACAATCCTACCAGCCACAGGAAAGTCTATTTCTATTGAATACCTCCAGCTTGTAAGTGCAGCTCAAAGAGAAATCACAGCACACACCAAATTAGTAACTAAGCTTATAATGAAATGTTATAAGGAGTGGGGGCGAGAAAGGGTAGAGTTATACAAGAGAAATGCGGGGGTTTTTTTTTATGGTGAAGAGAGCGGCTCGAGGTGTAGCCTTTCCAGTTTGTTAATATAATGACACCAGATCCAGGCCAGACCCCCAGAATCTTTCTGCCCCCGCAGCCATTAATGTCCCCTCTGTGCAGATGTGCAAGCAACAGGGACCCAGTCCACTACAGTTTTTTGCACCCCATTTTTCTACAGTTTTCAGTCAGACATAAAGTTCTTCTGTACTATTTTCTTCAGCAAAGCATCCTGGTTTGTTCCTTTAACAAGCTGTGGAACAATTTCAGCAGGAAAGAAATGCTCGACACAAAGCTATGCCAAATCCTCACTTGCCTGGTCCACCAGGGACTAATCTGCAAAGCAAACACTGATCAGTTATTCCCTCCAGACAAGCTGCCCAAGGGATGCATAACATCAGCACTCAGGTAAACATAGACGGCTATTTTGGGGGATGTCCAACAGGTGGCAGCAGAAGTCTTCTTGGTGGGGCTGTGAGCAAGCCGGTATTTTAAGCATTCTTCTGCCTTACCAAATCTTAGCATGAATGGATGGGCCTGACCAGTACAGGCAGAACGGGAAGCCTTGCATTCCAGACACCCAAGCTCCAAAGGGCTAAACGCCGTAAAGTTTTGCTCAGGCAACCCTAACACAGAAAAGCGGAACAAAGTGCTTGGTGCGTGCCACTTTTGGAGAAGATACGCTAAATCAGGGATGAGGTTTCCTACAAGGCTTCAGCTTTCACACACCATCACCATTTGTCATGCTGGCTTTCAATTGCACAGTAGCTTGAGAGCTCCCCTGAGGTCAGTCACATGGAGAGGGCTTGTGCATGAGAGAAAGACGAGAGAACCACAGATTTGTGGACCCCCAGTAGGAGCTGGAGCTCAACTTTTGGAAGGATGCAGGCTCTTCACACCTGTATTAAAGCATCTACGCCGAGGAGCATCCTAAGCCATTTGCACACACGCAAGTATAGGTGCTACGTACCTCAAGGTCTGCTTTTGTTACGAATGCAGAACAGAGAGCAGACACTGGCATTTGGAAAACAGTGAAGGCCACTGAACTTTCTACGTCACGACAGCCGTTCTAACTGCAAGCCCAGAGGCTCACTGAGCCCATTATGGGACACATCCACAGAGGGGTCTGCAAATCTGGTGGCCCCTGTTTCTGACACACATGTGGCTTCTTTCCCGTGCAACAGGAGCTTTCAAGCCCCTGCGAAGCCTGAAGCAGCCAGAGAGCACAGTGCACAAAGAGCATCCCCACCAGCTGGGAAGCGATGCGGCATCTCACATTTGGCTGAGTGGGAGCTTTCAAGTGGGCAGTTGCTTCCGGCAGATGGGTGTGTGGAGGCTGGTGCCCATGAAGTAGAGTTAAAGAACGATGTGGCTGCCCTTCCCCTTTGGCCTTCGACGAGGCTTCTCAGCCGAGACTCACCTGCTTTCTCTTTGACAGGCTGCTCAGCGTCTGTCTCAGAGTCACTGCTGCTGCTTGTTGAGCTATCAGCAGGGGATGCTTTCCCAGACGGCTTTGCAATAGGAGCAGTGCCAGTTTTCCCAGAACCCTGCCTGGCTAATGCAGGGAAAGCGCTCTTTGCCACAGCTGATGCTGGGATCTTCAAATGACTAGGCAAACCTTTCAGGAGGGACTGTGGAAATGAAGAATTCACATACAAGGAAGGGGTTAGGAAGGGATGGCTATACAGCAATACATCTCTTCTAGAACTTCAAGGCAATCTTTCTTATAGAAGGATCAGGTGATTTCTAAAAGAATTATCAGAATCATACTCATAAGCTTTTCATCACTTGACAGCAATGCTGACACACAAAAACCAAGAATAGGGTGAACTTTAATGAGATATATAGCACTGGTCAAAAATTAGAGGAGATTGAACCAGGAGAAGGCAGGGCAGGTTGCTAATTCTGGGGGATTAGGGGAGCTAACAGTGATGCGCATTTTGAGTGGCATAATCACACTAATAGGCAATACTAAAGAAGAAATGCTTTATAGCAGCCTTCCCCAATCTTGTGCCTTCCAGACATGTTTGGACTACAACACCCAGAATTCCCACTCAATGGTCCTACTGGATGAGAATTCTGGGAATTGCAGTCCAAATGCCTCTGAAGACCACCAGGTTGGGGAAGGCTGCTTTAGAGAGTGAAAACCAACGTCTATAACTGTTCCCTGCCCCCTCTCCTCTCTGCAAGCTTCCCGGACCAATGATCTTGTTTGCTAAACTCTGGCTACCAATCTGAGGGAAGCTTGGTGTGGATTCGGATGGCCTGAGAAGCTGACACAGAGCCTCATGACTAAGCTGCAAATTCCACTTCCATTAAGGCCCATGGAAGCTCCAGCACAACTCCATGGCTCTCCCTTGTGTGGGAACCAGCCTGTAGGCTGGGATTAGAATAGCTGGAGAAAGAAGACGGCGACGATAAAGAAATGCGCCCAATGCTTCCATTTTTCATTGGGGAGGGGAGGGAGCATTTATGTGAGTGTTTTATGGGTTCGTGACACACTCAGTAAATTTACTTCTTTGTTCTCTCCCTGTTAAGCATGCATAAGGGAGGCAGCTGGCCATTAGCATGCTCCCAAGCTTGCATGAAATTCTTAATGCATCACAGATGTATAGCACATACGATACATTGCTAATAAAAATGGGTTTATAGCTTAAACATGGCTTAAATTACGAATAAAAATTGTTCCTGTACACAGGACACGGCTCCCCTTGTTCCACTATTTCATTGGCCTGCAGTTTTCACCCTGGATCTCCCCTTTATTCTTACTTAGCTGGTTAACAGAAGGTCAGAAAAGTGCCATTAGCAAGTTTGCAATGGGGAGCACCTCCCTCTCCATGGCCCTGAAGGTATGGCAGGAATGGTTACGTGGACCATATTCTTTGCAAATATATTTGTATACTTAATCTGATGATTAATGTCTGCACCCAATTTACATATAAAATGTGCACGAAAATGTCCTTATTTTTTCTTTAACTCACTAAACTTTCCTTTCATGTACTTTTTCCCCATCCTCTAACATTGCACAGTCTATGTATTCTCCTACACTGATGAGAGATTCGAGTTTAGTGAGTGTGTCTGTTTGTGTGTTGTGCATGTGTACACTTGCACATTACCCGGCATTACCCTGGTTTCATATGAAAGAGCAGTTTGTTGTGCTCTTGCTTTGCTTCTCCATTTAACATGAACAAGTAAAAGTAATCAGAAATGGAAGTCTGAACCCAGGATCCTGTTTTCAGTGTAAAGTTCAGTATAAGCAAATGTAAACTGAAAACTCTCAACTTCAAGTATTATTTAATGATTTCATTTTTATACTGCCCAATAGCCAAGGCTCTATGGCTGAGCCATAGTGACTGATCAAGAAAGGGAAAGCTTGATGAAAACGTTGGCCCAAGGCACAGCTGCCGTGAAAAAGGTAAAGTCCGTGTTGGGCATAACAATGAAAGGAACTGAAAATAAAACGGGCAGCATCATATTCCCTTAGACAAATTTTCAGTGCAATTGGACCTAGAATTAGGGATGTATGAAGGATCCATTTGGTGGCGGGAATCCACAAGATTCCCAGGGCTTGGCTTGTTGGACTCTGGTCCACTCTGCAGCAGCTCCAAGTCTGAGTTCTTGCTGAGTGTGCCTGACATTCGCACGGTGCAAGCAAGCAGTGCCCCCTTGAATGGCTGCAACTGACGCCGAAGATGGCTGCTGGGGGGGGGGGGCTCCAGGAAAGGAGCCACACGTGGCTGCAGTGCAAGTGGGATCCCGCATATGCCATCTGGGTGGCTGCAGATGACGTGGAAGCAGCTTTCCAGCACAACGGGGCCCCCATGAGTGTTCACAGACTTCCTTCTCTGTTCAGCCTGCCTTGCAAGACTAAGTCAAGCACAAGGGGAAGACTGTGAGTGCCTGGAGGGATGGATTCATGTGGTGGTGTGGTGTAGTGGTTAAGACTGTGGGACTGGGACTCAGAAGATCTGGCTTCTAGTCCCTGCTCAGCCATGGACTTTGAGCCTGTCGCAGACTCTCAGCCCAAGGACTGTTGTTAGTATTCAATGAATAAATTCATTAAATTCCTGTTTTTGTGGGGATTAGACTGAAAGCATCAGGAGAAAGATTTGAGTTCTTTGTAAGAAAAAGGTAGAATATAAATCTAATAAATAAATTCTGACAGGGTTCATCCCAACCTTACTTAGAATATTGTGTACCATTTTGGTTGCTGCAGCTGAAAAAAGACATTATCAGTTTGGAAAAAGAGAAAGGCAACTAAAGGCAACTAAAATGACTGAGGGGCTGGAGCAATTCCTCTATGCGGAATGGTTACAAGAACTGGGATTGTTCGGCTTGGAAGAAAGGTAAGGGGAAGCATGACAGAGCTGTTTAAAATTATGTTTGGTGCAGAAAAGGTGGAGAGAGCAACATTTTTCTTCCTCACCCATAATATCAGAACACAAGGTAAGTCCACGAAGCGGATTAGTGAGAGATGCAGGACAGATAAAAGGAAGTACTTCTTCACACAGCAGAGTTAAACCAATTAATCCATCCAAGGAAGTACAATGGCCCCCAATTTGGATGCCTTTAAAAGGGGACTGGACAAATTCGTGGAGAAGGCTGCTAATGGCTCCTGGGCTGCCTCCTGTACCAGAGGCGGCCTGCCTGCGCACACCAGTTGCCGAGGAGCCGGGCAGGAGGAGTTCCTGCACCCAGCCTGCCTGAGGGATCCTGTGGGCAGCTGCTTTGCCACCATGTGAACTGGATGGACCTTGGGTCTGATCCTGTAGGGCTTCTGCTATGTTGACCTCCCAACTCACTACCTTTGGACTCAAATCAGAACGGAAGTGCGCTCACCCTGGATTGTGTTAGGTAAGGGAACTGGAGTGTTCACTTCTAAAAGCAAGCCCAATTCCCTCAGTCAGATGGTCCAAAACAGGAGGGATGAGGAGACCCTCCCCCAGCACGTCTCAGTGGGATGCAGTACATGTGCTTACGGACAACCACCCGGACGAACCCCAGCTGCTCCTGATTTCACTCCGCTCTTGCCCACAGCAGCCTCCTCTTAGGGAGCTGAGACGTGCTTCCATGCTCACACTGGGATTTGTGCAGACCTGAGAACAAATGTCCAGCCCAAGTCTAATAAAGAGGAGTGGACATTCTGCAGAAAGTCTAGGTTCTCTACAGGGGTAGGGAATTTGTGGCCTCTCAGATGCATTTCAAAAGCCTTCTCAACCTGTTGGAGATTTGGGCAACGAATGGGTGCCTATCTCCGTATGTGGGGGGGTTGTGAAAATATTAAGAAATTCTAGATGATGGTTTTAAAGTAAACTAGTAAGACACTGGACTTAAAAAGTAAAGTAGATCCCAAAATAGCATTACTGTTAATATTTTATGAGAAGAAATGGAACACTAAAGAATTAATAACAAATTTGGTAACAGCAGCAAAATTGGTAATAGAAAAGAACTGGAAAAGTGGGATCTCCAGTTAACTGAACAGTATAAAGACATTTGGAATATAGCTGTTAAAGTAAGTTGACATGTGGACTTAAGGTGAAAAAGGGGATGACAAATGAGAAAGGTTTTAAAGATATATGGGGTAGCTATGGAAAATGTATTAATAAAAGGGAAGGATATTAAACTTCTGGATTATTCAATGCAATTTTGGATGGAAGAGTGGAAATTTAGTAGTAGTAGTAGTAAGTAAGGATGAGGAAATGAAGGAATAAATATTATGCAGCCATGGTCCTGGTGGAAGGGTCCATGAGTTGTGCTCTCTCTGTCCCTCCCGTATATATATTTATATAACATATATAATTTATGTTGCTTTTCATTTTATTCTTTATGATGCATTTTTATATTTGCATTGTTGTATTTTAGTAGTTTAAATAAATAATGCATCGTAACACGACTTGTGCCAATGGTTGAAGCTCTCTGCTCAGCAGCCAGCTCGTTAGTCAAGAAGCCATACCTGCGAGGCGTCCTGGTCTTCGTCACTGGACTCATCAGACGAGCTCTTCGGTTCTTTGATCACTCCTTGTTTCTGTGCTGTGCCTGCTAAGAAAAAGGAGCCACCTTCTGAGATCTTTGTGCCAACAGAAAAGCTGCTATGGAAATCAAGAACAGGAAAAGTGGAGGATCAAGCCAAACTGTGTGATCTTTTCTTATGTCACACTTGTCCCCGCAGACCATGTCAGGTTATTAGTTGAGACGGATTTATGGCCACCTAGTGTGATGCCAGATGCAAAAGTTGATAGGGAATCTGCATCTGGAGTAACTAGGACAAGGGATCCTGTACCAAGGAGTAGGAAAGACACAGACTGCAGTCAAGGCCTCCCAAAATTGCCACAGGCAACCCTGCCCCTAGACCTGTTCTGATTCTCACAGGTTATTACTAGCTGCTAGCATCCAAAGGTACTTACTAGGGTAATTATGCCAAAGTCTGCAAGATCCCCTCTGCTAAATAAATTTCACCACATTAAAGGTTTCTCTAAAGGCAACTTTGCTTGCTTTTAAAAAATAAAACCTCATTGTGAGTCATAGGGGTGGAAGATAGGGGAAAGGAGGTTAGTAAGCCATGAAATTTCTCTCTGGTGGCCTCATGACTCCTCTCTCAGAAGGCAATATGAATATACAGCTAAGGAATTTCTTCCACTGAGACACAGCTGCATCTTAAGAGTGCATTTTAACACGAGACAGTATGGAAGAGGTTAACCTGAGCTAAGCTTCTGCCCTATCACCTGCTTTCAATGCCAGTGTTTCTGCTTCATGACACATGAAGTGCGCTCTGAAGCACACCCAGAGCACCAATCTCTCCCTGCCCACACTTAAACACCAGATATGGGAAGCAGGTTGAGAGTGGAGAAATGCTTTCAGCTAATATTGGGTGGCTTTGAGAAGTTCGGAACTGCAGCGACTTACTTCTTGGAAGGTAAGTAACTTTGCCAGTTATCATGCCCTGAGCAAACTATGGCCCTTCAGAAGTACCCTCTGATCCTGTGGGTGATGCTGCCTCATGTGCGCACCAAGCTGTGGTTCTAACGCGCACTCTGCACTGGGTCGCAAATGCCACTGAAACATTCCCCGGGGTTCAGCCTCCTCTCTCTTACCAGGCTGTGGGATCTGTTTGGCTGCAGGCAATGCGGCGGCTGCCCCCTCCTCCTCACTGTCTGAGGAACTGCTGCTTCCCGAATCCTCCGTGTGTGTGGAAATCCCGGTGGGTTTCGCAGGCAGAGCCTGGCCCTGACTTGGCTTGGCCTTTTTGGAGGGGCTCTGCTCCACTTTTCCTGGTGTGACCAGGGCAGGACCTTGGCACTTGCTGGAAACGGAGCCTGGTGTACTGGAGTTGGCCTGTGCACCCTTTCTGGAAGAAACCGTTGCTTTATCTGCCAATTGCTTAAAAAAGGGGTGAATAGGCGGCTGTGGGAAGAATAAGAAAGCAGAAATAAAAATTACAAAGGCAGAGGGAAGCCTCAAAACCAACCACGCTTAGAAATCACAGCTGTCCCTCTGGCTAAGAAAACAACATCAAAAGGAGATGAGCATGTACACAATGCAAATCCTTAGCACGCCTCAGATCCCCATCACCAGCTGCTTCACCAAGACTCAATTATGAAGCTCAGTTAGTTTATATAATTATTAGTTAAGCTCTTATAGGAGGCAAAGAAGATATTTGCTGGAAAGTGGCATGAACTGAAGGAAGGTGGATGAGAGTCAGCTCTTTAACTGTTTGTACCTACCCACAGAACACAGAGCAACCCCATGGCCTGGAGGCCTTGTTGGGCAGGGCACACAACAGCTCAGATGCCCAGCTGAGTCCTCCTCACAGCTGGCATGGGAAAACCCAGACCAAGAGGTCTCTTAGAAAAGCAATCTCAGAAAGCAGGAAAGGAGGACATTTTTGGGGGGGTGGGGAGAGGAGGGGAGAAGCCTGGGACAGTCAGAATCGCTGAATCTGCTCCAGCCTCCTTCCCCCACTCTGAAATAACATTGCTAGACAGCCAAAACAGGACTGGCAAAAAAGCAGGTGCTCCTCCCACCTGCCCTGGCTGAGCATGAGCCTCCAAGCTTGGGGGCTCCTGCTCATCCCAGCTGGCTTGCTGCCCGTATTGGGGAAGTCCATGCCAGGGCCTGCGTTTCAGGGGTCTGCACTCTCTGCACCGGGTGGGACGAACCCTGCCAAGCATCACGTACACTGAGGGCACCACTTGGGCCTGATCGCCCCCGCAAGATACAAAGGCCTCACTCGCACCAGCCCAGGTGCCTTTCGATCCGAGATCTGTGCTGCCATCAGGACGCCCTGCCGCCGATACCGCATGCCGCATATGAGCCAGAGAACGCCTTGCTACCTACCGCTTTCACTGGCTTCTCTGCCTCCTTGCTCTCTGAGGAATCAGAGCTGTCTGTCTCCGAGCTCTCCGCAGCTTTCTGGAGAGAGGCAGCTGCTGGCCTCGCTGGGCTGGCTGTCCCTCTTCCCACTGACTGTGCATTGCCCACCTTGGCTGAAACAGCACTGCCCATCTTTGCAGCCAGGCCTTTCGCAGGAGTGGGCACAGGTTTCTGCGTCACTTGTGCGGGTTTCTGGGAAAGGAAGGTTATTATATAATTAGGCTGGGTCAGGAACAGAGGCTCTAATGTGCAGGAATACCAAAAAAGAAAGTCAAGTGCTGCTGATTCTAGGAAATTAAACCACTAACGCAAATCAAAATGAACACTAATAGCAAATCTCACTATGCCGTACACCACCAGTTGTTTTCCATAGTTTTCTAGGCCTTGGATTGTGGACCTTGGCCAGTGGTGGGATTCTGCACAGAGGGTTGCTGTATCTGCAGGATGGCAAGTGGAACACAACAGAATATGGAGGCAGTGGCTGTGTTCAGGTAACCATTGCCGAGCCAGATAAGCTGAGCTATGCACAAGGATGGCCTGTACACGCCATCCTTGCACTACCCTTTCTGTCCTCAGGCCCTGCAGTGTGCTGGGAAGATTTCGTTCACTCCAAATCAGGAAACAATGGTTATTGGGTTTAGAACCAGCCAAGGTCTCACACCAATTTCACATCATGATTTTAGATCCTGGCTTGTTTTGAAGCTGTCAACCATAGTTTCCTGGTTTGGACTTAACAGGAAACTATGGTTACTTGAAAAGTTCCTTGGGTAATCAGAACGTACTGAAAAGGGAGGGATGCAGAGGATACGTGATTCATGCCTATCTTGGCTTAAGATACGAGCTTCCAATGTGAAAAGCTGAACTTTTGTTAGGGCTGATTACATTTTCAGCCTCAGTGGTCCATGTTTTACACCGATTTCATTATTAAAGGTAAAGGTTTCCCGTTGACATCAAACTCTAGTCACGCCTGACTCTAGGGGGCGGTGCTCATCTCTGTTTCCTAGCCGAGGGAGCCAGTGTTTGTCTGCAGGCAGTCTCCGTGGTCATGTGGCCAGCATGACTAAACACCGAAGTGCACGGAACTCTGTTACCTTCCCACCGAAGTGGTACCTTTTTATCTACTTGCATTTGCATGCTTTCAAACTGCAAGGTTGGCAGGAGCTGGGATGAGGCAACGGGAACTCACCCTATTACACAGATTCGAACTTGTGACCTTTTGATCAACCAGCCCAGCAGCAGAGCAGTTTAAACCACTGTGCCACCTGCATCCCATGATTTCATTATTAAACATATGCTATTCCACCTTCTGAGACAGTTTACAAAAACAAAACATGATATACGAATATAGCAGTAACTTTTTGAGACACAAATTAAAACACCTGGAAGATTAAGAACATATATGCCTGGCACCAAAACGGCAGACTCCCCTAAGGAGGAAATTCCACAAACAGGAAGGCTCTGACTGGGTTTGTACTAAGCAACCACCCAAAGTGGACAAGCCACAGTGGGTTGCTGTGTTGTGCAACTGCAGCCCAACTGCAGTAGGTTGGTGTCGCTGCGTCTTATGATAACCTGGGCAATCGATCCCATCAAAGGTTGCAAGATCCAGATACTGAATTCTTGGTTCATCAGAGAGAGAACAAAAGCTAGTACTGAGAACAGAATACAATACCCTGAGAAATTCCCAACTGTCACTTGGGTAAAAGAGCAAACTTCATACCTCCGCTTTTGTGAAAATGTGTGAGTGCAAGAGCGAGCAAGCGAGCGCACAATGAGATCTATTTGGATAAAAAGAGACTAAGCAGAATTCTAAAGGGGCAATTTAGCTTTTTGCCTCTTTCCATCATTAGTAAAATGGAGAAGAGATGATAAATATTAAAGATACCCTTGCAGATGGGCCTAAACCTATGCATGCCAGATTATACTTTTTCTTGGTGCAGAGGACATGTACCCCTGCACAAATACTTTCAAGCTCTCCACATTTCTTCTTCCTTCCAGAGACATTCCAGATTAAGAAAAAGTTAAATCTTTCAATAAGAATTATGGAAGTAAAGCAAAGTTTTCCCCAGTAATCTTGTACATTAACTGCAAGCTTTCCTCTATTTTTAGAAAAATTTACACAGAATGCTAGCAAGAATGTTTTCCATATGCCTACATCTGGCACAATAATATAAAGCATATTTTATGCCATGTGTGTGTGTAAAATTCAGCTGTAATTTATAAGCTGTGCTTGCATTAACAAAAATGCTTTTAAAAAAAGTTTAAAAATATCTAGGTTCTAGATCTGACAGCTGTGCAAAATAAAACAACTGATTCATCTACCACAAGGAACTATCTGGGTAGTTCCAGCAGGGCATCTATCAGATCTCTCTCTTTCTCTCTCTCTGAGATGCCCACGGAGCAGCACCTTCTGAGCAGGAACGCTGCCCAAGAACCATGCTAGAAAGCAGACCTGCCACTTCTGCCATCTAAAATGTCGACCGGGTATGGTTGGCAGGGGATGAGAATGAAAACAGAACAGTTGAACCATCTGCGATTGCTATGCTCCACTATGCTATGTGATCCCAGAGCCAAGCCTACCCTATGGCATAGGCATTATGCCCCCTATAGTCTGGACTGATCAGGACAACAACTGTGCAAGCACCTCATTCCCCAAGAGAAAAGACAAAACCTAAGCAGGTGGCCATCCACTTTTAAAGAGTTTGGCATGCAGGGTCCCGGGCACATCCTTTCAGCTATGCAAAAGGGGACTATTGTGGACTTAGGATCGGTTTGCTGAGCAGTTTGATCAATATGGATACATCTTTGCTCTCCACAGATCTCTCCTTGATTACCTGAGTGAACACCGAGTCCTCCTCTGAATCAGACTCATCGCTAGAATCCTGGCTGCTGTCTTCGCTCGCCTGGGCCTTCGCAGGTGGTCCTGCAGGATGCTGGGGCTTCACGGCACTTGCTGGCTGGGCTGGAGCATTTGCCTTGGCTGCAGAAGGGAACCACAAGAGACGAGGCAACCAGTCAGTGGACTAAAACTCATGTGCACACAAGCCTGAGGCCATTTCTTTTCATCCGTGCAGTCTTTCAGAAAAGCCCTGGAAACACATTTATTTTCCATGGAGTTCTCCTTCGAGTTTTGCAGGACTGCTTGATGGAAATGGTTTTAGAGCATTATTGGCTTTAATGGTTTTATCTGGCTTGTTTTCGGCCCACTGCACTGTTTGACTTTGATTCATTATTATGTTGCCAACTGAATTTTTGAGGGGGAGTATTAGCCATATTTTATGTATTTTGTGAGTTGCCTTGTGAGGGCACTTCTGTCCTACAAGCGGCTGATACAATAATTAAAAATAGTTTCTGGAAAAGGAAAGTGAGTGGCTTGTGTGTGCCTGAAGAGGTAGAAGAGACCCTGCACATCTCTTAGAAGTGGCTGTTGCTCTCTTCAAGAATGGTCTGGTCAGCACTTGCCTGCGATTTGCTGGTATGGTTGGAGAAGAACTGGAAGGAAGAAAGCTATAATTAGTGGTTCCACAATTATGCTACAATAACTGGACTCTGAACTGAGAAATGACTTTCCCTTACACTTCTCAATCAATAAGCTAGAATTCTGTTGGAATCCAGCTTACAGCTGTGAAGTCTAGACTTTATTAGCAACTACCAACTGATGACAGACAAGCTGATGCCCAAGATTTTCCACACTGCAAAGCCTGCCAAACCTACAACAGGGAAGACCTTATGAGCCGAAAGCCTTTAAGTAAGTGACTCCATCATGCTGTAATTATGAAGAAAATTCACTGCAGGAAGATTTCTCTTGCTTTATTGCTAATCTAAGCTGTGCATAAAATGGAGAAAAGGAGGAAGATGAATATTGCCTTGGGCTCCTTGAAGGAATAGTGGGATATAAATATAACAACTAATACTAATAAATCTTGCTCTCCCCTTCATCCAAACCCTGACTCTGTCTTGTAGAGAAAAATGGAGATCTATACTATGCTGAGCTCCATACAGAATCTCAGGATACACATTTCTATTCACTGGTTACATTCAATCTTGCACAAGGCAGATAACAATATCACAAATGCAACACAACTTTGAAGGTTTTTGCACAAAAGGATCCTGCAGAAGTTTAGGGTATTCCCCAAAGAGAGGTGCACACTCTCACACTCTCTCTCACTGTCATCACTGAGCTCCTCATTAAAATGTCCAGTATACACAGACTAGTATTACAATACTCACTTCTGATATTAGCTCTAACATTCCATGTAGCTTTTATAGGCAATTTGCAGAGAAGTAAGAATTCTTGCAGACAGCTCATTCTTCGGAAGTTTCCCTTTTTCATTATTACACAAATCCCAGAAAAAAAGCATGCTCTGGTCCTGCTACGGGGCAATGTCACTTTGGAACACGCTTTTCTGAAGACCAGTTTCTGATCATTGGGGCGTCCTATGTAGGCTCACCTGGTACAAAAACTGAAGCCACTGTACTGTTATTAGACTTAAAGCCTAATCCTACAGAACGTTGGCATGACTAATTGCCATGATCCAAGGTTGGCATGATTCAAATGAAATCAATGAGCTTAGGCAGACTTTACTCATTGTTAGGGCTACAGAATAAAAGTAGAAGTCAGAGAAATGATTCCTCTGGTGCTGTTCTGAGGGCTAATATCAAAGAGGCAGCAACCGAGCAAGCCTTCACCTCCTGTAGTTCAAGAGGTCTATGTAACACGTATCAATACTTTCAGTGGAACTGTTCATGCAACCAAATGGCCCTGGATGCATCTAAAATGTACACACTGGACTCAGCTAGGAGGGACTGCATTAAGCTGTGGAATGCAACTATCCTCACTGCGAAGACTGACAAGCTGCCGTATTTCTTCAGAAGTTGGAAAGAGGGGAGAGAACCGAGGTCTTGAACTGCATTATAACATGCCAGATGATTCATATCTGCCAATACTTCTGTTATGAAGCTTATGGGAAGATTTGCATTTTGATAATCCATTCTAAGAAGTCAAAGCAAGAGATCCCTCCTCTCATTTCATTGCTCGGTGTTTGAGGCTGGAAGAAAATGATTTTTCCACAGCAACGAAGGAGCAGATCAACTTGGCTAAGGCTTGCAGGAACTGGCTCCTGCAAGCCCCCACCCAGCCCCTTTCACTGTGCAGAGAGAGACACAGAGCTCCATGCCTCTCTCTGCCCAGAGATTTTCTTTTAAGTGGGCAGAACAGATGAGATCACGGGGGAGGAGGGGCTTCACAGGTGAGGGCCCCCTCTGTGCTGTCATCTGTCAGGGGTGGCAGCAGGCAGTACCTGGCCTCTGGACCAAAAGCGGTTGCCCTCCCTGAATCAGGACTCTCATATCAAACCCGTCAACATTCAGAATATTCCAGATGAATTTCAAACCTGTTAACCTTGTTGCGATACAAATAACCCAGGAAAAATAAAGCAGTTTGTTTTTTTCAGTCTCCAAAGAGCTCATCACGCACCACAAGCAGGTCTGAGCTTAGCAACACTACAAGGAATTGGAAACAAAGAGCGGCCCTTGCCCTGCCTCGAAAGGACAGTTCTTTTGCCACCTGAGCAAGATGTTCCAAAACAAAATGCAAGCAGAACATAGAGCTGAATATAGAATGCAGGCTGAAGGAAACAAACATCCTCATGTCTTCCTGATCTGTTATAGAGTAGCAGGCACCCATTCGCATGCTTTCACCCTTGGATGCATTGCGCGTCCCCTCAGGGAGTCTCTCTGCAACTTGTGTGCAACTTGTGTGCCGCTCAAGCACAGTCAAAGAAGCAGAAGGCTGTGCAATCTGGGGCTTCTTACCGGATGGCAGGGGCAGTCTGCGCACTGCTGAAACACTTTCATCCTCACTGTCAGAAGAGCTGCTGCTGCTCTTGCTTGCTACTTCCTTCCCCTTTGCAGCAGCTGGTGCAGCTTTCACGGGGGCGCTTGGCTTAGCTCCAGGGGGAGGCTGCGGCGTTTGCAATCTCTGCACCACAAGAGAAAAACAACAGGCTCAAAAAAGCTACACCCAACACAAGAAAGGATGTAAGAACCAATCATTGTTACATGGGATTGACATGAAGTGGCTGTCTGCATTCCTTGAAACTAAGAGTTGAGGACAAGATGTGGGGAAAAATTGCTTTATGTCAAGATTTTATATGGGGATGGCCTGGAGGTGTGGCAAAGAGGTTTTCAAAGCAGAATTGTTGCGGCATACAATGTTTTGTTTGAACTTCTATTTTATGTCCCAATCACCAGTCTTATTACATTCTATCATTACACTGCACGTATGTCTTGCCATTTTATCTCTTGTGAGGAAACCAAGAAAGTGTACATAGTTCTGTTTTATCCTCACAACAGCAGCCCTATGAGGTAGGTTGGGCTAAGAGCCTGTAACAGGCCTAAATTCACCCAGGCAACTACATGGCTGAGTGGGGACTGGAACCCAGATCTTCCAGGTCCCCAGTCTTTTACCAGCATCCCACAATGGCTCACAGAGTCATAGAACAGTAGAGTTGGAAGGGATCAAGAAGGCCATCAGGCCCACCCTGTTGCACAGTGCAGGACACCAAGTTACATCATCCCACTCAGATGACTGTCCAAGTTGCATCTTGAATGTGTCTAGTGTGGGAGAGCCCACAACTCCCCAGAGTAATAGGTTTCGTTGTCTTACTGCTCTGATAGTCTGGAAATTTTTTCCTGATATCTGGATGGAATCTGGCTTCATGTAACTTAAGTCCATTACTCCATGTCCCGCACTCAGATGATCGAGATCTTGTCCTTCCTCTTTGCGACAGCTTCTAAATGTTTGTAGAATGCTGTCCCATCTCCCCACAGTCTTCTCTTCCCAAGGCTGAACATGCCTACTTCAATCACTCTCTCTTTATAGGGCTTTGTTTCCAGTCCCTGAATCATCCCTGCTGCATTTCTCCGAAACCTTTCCAGATTTTCTGCATCTTTCTTAAACTGTGATACCCAGAATTGGATGTAGTACTCCAGATGAGGCCTAAGCAGTGCTGAATAAAGGGAAAACAGTACTTAATGGGTTTCAGAAGTGATACTTCTATTAAGCAGCCTAAAATAGCATTTGCCCTTCTTGCAGCTGCATCATATTGTGGGCTCTCCCTTTTCCACTCTATCCTCATAAAAAAACCTGTGGAGTAAGTGAGGCTGAGCATATAGGCCTAACCCATGGTCACCCAGTGAGGTTCATGGAAGGAAGACATACTGAGTCCCACCACTGGCCCACCTCACTTAGTGCTGTCTGTACTGCCTCTTGAGGGTTTTAGATCAAAACCTTCCCAAGTCCTGCCAGAAGAAGCCAGGATCTGAAACCTGCATGGAAAGCAAATGCTCTAATAATTCAATTATAACTAGCACAGTTATAATGACTGGGGTTTAAATACGCCATGGAACAGCACAGGTATACTTCTCAATTAACAGCCTGCTTCTCATACCAAATGGCAAAGTATTATTTGCTGTAGAACTAGGCTGAGTTTTGACTGAGTTATTGTACAATTATCACCTGTATACGCATGATTTCATGATTTCGGGAAAGTGGCTAGAGAGAAAAATTTCTTCCATGATAGGTAGGCATGTCATGAGTGGAGCTGGCTGGATCCAGAGGTCAGACTAGATGGCCCAGGAGACCCCTTCTGACTCGCTCTGTTTCTATGCTAATAGAGCCCAAGAGCATCCCATGAAGCTGCTTGGTGGGCAATTCAGGACTGATAAAAAGAAATGTATCTTTACTCGAAACATGTAAAGTGCCCAGTAAACTATGAATCTCCCTTTCACAAGAGGCAGTGATGGCTGCCAACCTGGACAGCTGGAAAAAGGGGGTTGGACAAATTCATGGAAGACAAAGCTTCCATGGTAACTACTAGTCTGATGGCTGCACGGCATCTCCAACATCAGTTGCTGGGGAATGGGAGGGCGTTGTTGCCCTCGTGCCCTGCTTGTGGGATCCTGTGAGGAGCTGGCTTGCCATTGTCTGAATGGAAGCCTGGACAAGAGCTTGGCCTGGTTCAGCAGGGCACACCTTATGCTCTTAGTATAACACACAACCGCAGATCAGTTGCCCAAGCTGTTTATGATCGCCTCAGAACAGCCTTGTCTACCAGGAACCTTGCAGTTGTGCTGGACTGAAACCCCGTAATTCCCAGCTCACATACACAGGGCCTCATGAACTGGGAATTATGGGAGTTGTAGTCCAACAGGTCTAGTGAGTGCCAAGTTGGGGAAGCTTGCCTTGGACCAGGGCTTTGAACTGTCACTCTCATTCAGCTCCACTGGAGAATGCAGAGCACCCACTGAAAAGTGCAAGCTGTTGTTTAGCTTTGCTGTTGCCATTTTTAAAGAGGCCTCTGCTAAGACCATTCCTGTCCCTTCAACTCTTCCAAAGTTCTTCAGTTTGACAAGGGGAAGGTGAAAGGAATACCTTCCCACATACTCTGGCTACAAAAGGAATGGGAGACATGCGATACTGCAGAAAAATCCCAGTTTTCCATATACTGGTATTCTGAAAGGCCCATTGCTGTCTAAGCAGTGCAGCTCTATGATAATACAGCATGGTATTGCACAACACCCCCTACCTTTATTTGGCTTGAACTGACCAACTGTGGATGAGGGCATGATCTCATTTAAGAGATCATCATCTTACTTACTGAGGGCGAGCACCTTCAGTACCAAAGACCACAAGCTCTCTAACTCCAACACACACTCCTGAATGAGGTTTGTTTGCAGATTAGCCTCTTTCTAGCAAGAATGTGCTACTCTTACTGTACCCCAGGGATGAAAGAGCTTCTATCAAGGCAAGCATGGGAGCGTCCTACTGTACAAACAGCAACTGCTGCAGCGAAGTCAGACAAGCAACACACCAAAGTGTGTATCTGTTGAAAATCTGGTGTTCAAACAAACAGTCACTTGTATTAAAAGGCTATTCAGGCTCAAAACCCATGCAATTTTCAAGCCTCCATGAAAATGAAGCCCCCTGTGGAAAACTGAGCATGTTTTATTATTTGAGAGAGAGATTCGCAGGAGGGCAATCCTTTGGCAAACAGAAGGATGATTTGAAGCAGATGCATAAACTTAATTTGAACTGAAGAGGCACAACGCTCCCTGCCTTAAGGAGTTTCAACGACAACTCTTCTGTAATGTTCAAGTTGGTTAATTGCTCACACTAACTCAATTGCTTCTCAGATGGCACAAGACAAATATCTGCAGATTCAAAATGCTTTTTCGTGACAGTGCTTAGACAGAGGGGCTGTGCAGAGAGCATGCAAAGCCCAAACATGTGTGGAGGCACATAGAAAAGAGCTCATTTTGAAAAGGGAGAGGGAAGAAAAATACAGCCAGCCATTCAACTGCCCTAGAAGGAAGCCACGCAGCAAGCAATGTGAGTTATAGTTGGCTGAATTACACCGAAGTTCAAAGGCCCCCAAAGGAAGGAAAATCAAAGCAGTCTTTTCAAAAAGCCCAGCATCTGGTCTGCTGAATTTTTAAGAACTCTGGGGAGTAGAACAAGGCTTCGGACAGAAAAAAAGGACAGCAGTTTTCTGAGAGGCTTTTATCTATTAACCAAGCCTATACCTGGGCTGATCGGTCTGCAGCAGCAGGAGGTTCTTTCTTAAAAGTCTCATCCTGTTGTATAGCAAGAATTAAAAGCAATAAAATGGAGTAGAATTCTGTGCAACACAGCTCTTACAGTCAGCTGCCAGAAGAGGCCATGTTCAGAGATCAGAAGTATTCAAATAAAAAAAATAGGGAGGAGAGAGGAAGAGACAGTATACTTTTGACTTAGCTGGAAGGAGAAATACGGGGCTTTGTGGGTAAGAACAGTGGACCCAGGGCCTTCAAAGAGCACAGAATTAAGCCATAACACACCTAAGCCTTTTAAGCCAGGATCTGTAATATTCGAACCAGGAAGTAGGGGAGAGTTTTTAAGCAGTTACTCCCTGCATATTTTAAAGCTTATGTCTGAATTCTAGAGGTTAGATTTAAATGGGCAGACAGGGGAGGAAGGTTTGAAGAGCTGAAAAGGACATCTAGCCAGTTCTTTTGCAATGGGTATATGCTATTCTGTTCCAAAAAAATGTGCGCAAAAGACTAGGTTCACATCAGCCAGATGACAGTATCCTCTGGGGCTGTGGCATGAGCACAAATACAGGCTGAATTTCCAGATCTGCCTGTAGGACATGGAGTAAGTTTGCTCGTAAAACTAATCCAGATGGCTCATGCAAACAGTATATGGCACATGCTACATTTGGAGAGGAAGGGGGAAGGGGGAAGAATGTTTAGTGTTACCAGCCAAAATCGGTCTTGCTGCAGTCTCTTGTTCAACCTCAAATAGAGAACAGAGTGGAAAGCTCAGCATGAAAAACCAAGTTAGGTCTGCCAAGCCATCCTAGAAAGAGTTCTATTTACTCTTCTAGCACAAACCATGTTTCAGAGGACTATCCTACACATTTTTGGGCAGGAAAAACACTGACAACTCTGGGACACGCACAGGATTGCAGCTTTAGTCATCTCCCCAAAACTTCAGCTGAGGACATCCCCACTTCTTCAGAAGAAGCAAACAAAATCCTTAGAGATGGGGGCAGGGGGGTTGATGGGCTTTCTCCAACTCTTTGTCCAGAAATGAAGCACTGAATTCAAAGTCAAGACCAAGCAGGTCTAAAGGTTGAAGTTTATAAATGTTTGCAGTTTCTCTGCAAGATCACCCGAACAGCCATTTGGGAAAGAAAGTTTAAGTAACCCTTACGCGAAAAACTCACACCCAATTATTCAGCACAAAGTTCTTATTCATTTAAGGCTACTTGCCCAATAATTGAATAATTCTTCATATGCGCCTAGATCAAAAGTGTAGGTTGGAAGTATTTAATTAGGAAAAAACACATTGCTAAAACAGCAACCAAAAATTAGTATGATACTGTCACAGCTATGTAGCAAACTTTCATTTAAGCAATGAAAGATGAACCTGGGAACTAAAGACCAGCTAGTCTGACATCAATCCATGGAAAAATTCTGGAGCAAATTATTTAAAAATCCATTTGCAAGCATCTTGAAGAAAATGCAGTGATTTATAGATGCCAGCATGGATTTATCAAAAATAAATCCTGTCAGACTAATTTAATCTCATTTTTTGACTGGGTAACCTCCCAAATAGAAAAGGGAATACCAAGGACATAATCTACCTAGACTTTAGCAAAGCTTTTGACATCCTGCCACACAACATTTTGATAAGCAAATTAGCAAAAACTGGACTAGATGGAAAAAACTATTAGGTGGATCCAAAATTGGCTGCTAAATCAGTCACAAAGAGTGCTCATCAATGGCACCTTCTCAAATTGGATGGAGGTAACTAGTGGGGTGCCACAGGGTTCAGTCTTGGACCCAATGCTCTTCAACATTTTTATTAACAATTTATATGAGGAAGTACAAGGAAAGATAATCAAATTTGCAGATGATACAAAACTGGGTGGAATAGCAAATACCCTAGAAGACAGAATGAAGATCTAAGATGATCTTGATAAACTTGAACACTAGGATGAAAGCAACAGAATGAAATTCAATAAGGACAAATGCCAAGTCCTCCACCTAGGAAAAAGAAACCAAATGCATCGATACCAGATGGGGAATATGTGGCTCAATAGAACTGAAAAAGATCTTGGAGTAATTGTGGACAATAGGCTAAGCATGAGCCAACAATGCAATGCAGATGGCAAAAGGGCAAATGTTATTTTGGGATGAATTAACAAAAGTATTACTTTGAAATCATTAGAAGTAGTAGTTCCTCTATACTCCTTACTAGTCAGACCTCACCTGGAATACTTTGTCCAGTTCTGGACACCAAGATTTAAGAAAGATGCAGGTAAATTAGAGAGGGTCCAGCGGAGGGCAACAAAAATGATCCAGGGTTTGGAAACACTGTCCTAAGAGGAGAGACTGAGAGAACTGGGCATGTTCAGCCTTGAGAAGAGAAGATTGAGAGGGGGACATGATAGCCTTCTGTAAGTACCTCAAAGGCTGTCACAAAGAGAAAGGTCTACTTCCCTACTATCCTGGACAAACCAATGAAAAATCAGCTGAATTGCATTATGGAAAGGAGTGCCTTCCCAACAAAGCCCCAGTTTCCCCAGAGTTTTAACTTACAGAATTTAACATGTACCTTCCCGCCCTATCCCACCTCAGTCCAGATGACATGTAGTCATTTTCAAAAAGATAAAGGAATTTGTGCTGCTTTGTGATTTAGGCAGGATAATAATTTTAAACTGTGTTCTGAAAGCAGCAGCTCTCCAATTCTACTTCATAAAGCTCCAGTGTCTGCTTTCCTCTAACATAAGGCAAGAGGCTCACAGAACTGCCTTTTCCCTGAGCATCTAGGAATAGCCCCATGCAAGGAGGTTGTTCAGGGCACTGCTGGGAACCTTTGATGAGAAGTTCAAGCCAACAACTTGTTCAAGGTCATGCTTGTTTGCTTCCCTATCTCAGAGGAAATATGCAAACACCTTGCCAGCTGAATAAATATCCAAAATCTTAAAATTCAATTAAGACACCATGCTCATTTTAATTGTGCCAATTCACTTCCTTTCCCCACCCAAATGGAATGAAGCAAACTCCAGTTTTCAGTGTTTGTTTGGAACTTGTTTATAGAGGTAGAGAACTAACCAAAGTTCCCAAAAGTACTTCCTCCTACGAATAAAATTAATTTTTATGAAGGCAGTGTGGATTATGGATTTGAACACACACTGCAGTGTCAAAAGAAGCTCAATACCTATTACAAACTAATTTGCAAAAGCCTGCTTGGTCTCCTGGCAGAATCCTGGAGGACACTCATGCCCACGCTGGATCTCTTATGTCCTGCCCATTAGCGGCCACAAGCACCTTTGCCATCGCAATTGAGACTTGGCACTTCTGGGCAATCCAAAACAGGTAGAAATGCTCATTCAAATGCAATGCAGCAGTACTACATCTCTGGAAGGAGGCGGGTTGGCAGAGCTTGCATAAAGAAGCTCGGCTGATGCGCGTCCTTGCAGGAATCAGTGTTTTCCCTCATTTTGGGGCATCCCCAAGGAAACTTCCTTTGCGTAAGCAGCAGACCCTGCTTGCATGACAAAATTGGTGGGCGCTGTATCTTGAGGAAGGGAATTGGTGAGAAGAAAGGAACCTGCAGAGGAGTAAGTGCCTAGTTGGATTCTGCCCATAAATGTACCTGCAGAGACTCTGCAGTACCTTCCATTAGTATTTTATGGCCAATGCAAACCATTTTGCTTTGCTGGAGCGTCAAAGTAAAACAAAGTGTTATTGGTCTTGCAATCATAGATGTAATACTTGTTTTGAAATCTGCCCAGAGAATATTGGCTAGTGGGAAGATTAAGCATAAAGTATAATAAAAGTTGCAGTGTATTCTTCCAAGTCTTGAATTTTAAAAGGTGTTAAAGGTGGCAATACGACATCTGATTGATCTCTGGTAGAATTCCAGGTACGTAACTTCACTTGGCTAAATAGTCAAGTGTGCAGAGTGCTTGGCTCAAAAGAACATTATTGCAGTGCTGAACGGAACAGAGGCATCAGCCTTCCCACCTGCACCTGGGACAGTGTGGTTTGCCCAGGGCAGAACCCGCTACTTCCCTGCCCCCGGGACTATCAGCACGGCTGAGTCAAAGCAACTGCCCAACTCATGTTAACACTAACAGGAATTTTTGCCCCTGCAGCTGCTTGCAGGAAACGTCTTCAAGAACCCTCTCCATATCCACTACCAGTAAATGGGAGATCTTTGGAACTGCGGCCAATTTTCAGCTTCGGTTACAGCTCATCATGCTGCGACTGGAGGGGAGGAAAGAGAAGAGAGAGCTGCAGAACCCTCACTTTTATGGCATTTGGAATCCAAGAATCCTTGATACCCGCCTCTTCTTTTTAGGTCCCATGATTTGCAAAAGTGAACTAACCATCATTCTGGATCTGCTGATCATTTTAGCCACACCAGAAGGTTTGTTTTCCGGGGAGGTGGGGGGGGGATGAGTCTTATCTAGTCTAATACAAACTGCTGCCTTTCTTTTTCATCTCCACATACTCCCTCCATGCTTTTCATTTGTAAGACATTCCATTTAGGAAGAGAATCCATACTTAAAATGTTCAGAGCAGGAAGTAACAGTTAAATCAAGGGCACAGATAAGTGACTTGTTTCACACATAACGACAACCAATTTAAAACAATGATGGGTTGCCAGGAATGTGCTGCCTGTCACTTACCCACCTCTTCTGTTTTACAGTACAAACCACAATCAGATCCTTTGTAGGCTCTATAATGTGGTATGTGAACTCACACAACTGGGCTGTTGAGCAGGTAAGGAGCTCATTAGTTAAGCCATGATTTGCTGCTGGGGCAGCTGCTCAGTTGTTAAGCTCAGTATAGCAGTCCAGCTTTATGCATTACATCACACAACCTATGGAGGAACCAAACGGGGTTGTGCAGTAAAGCAAAAGTGGTGGGCATGTGATAGGCAGGGCACCAACATGTCACGAAAAGCTCATTGGTTTTTAAAAGATGGGTTGTCGTTATGTGAAAGTGGTTTCCTATAGGGGAGGGAAACTTCCCTTCTAGAAAATTACCATGATCAACATGTCAAACAAGAGCAATATTGATAGGCAAATGCCTTTGAAGTTTCCTGAAATTTCCCCGGGGAATGCCAGGTTCATCCCAAGGGGGAAACAGGTAGGCTAGAGATCTGGGATGCGGAGCAAAACAATCCCGTTTGCAAAGTGCAGGGTGTTTGACAATCCAAATATTTTCAGCTTTTAAACAAAGGTGTTAGAGCCTTTTTCTGGTGTTAAAAGACAAGCAGTAGAAAAGCAAACTAATGTAACTTTATGCAGCTGATCTAAGCATCTAACTGTCCACTGATTAGCCACATGCTGAAAGAGGTGCAAAAGAGGCAGTGCAAAAAATGGATGGGGAAAGCAGCCACATTCCACAAGGCTGGGATTTTAAGTATAAAAAATGCACAATCCTGAAAACTTGAGCACACGTGAAAGGAAAAGCAGCCGAGTCCCCTTATTCCATAGGAGCAATAATTTCTAACCTTCTGGCTCACTGGGATGGGGGGAGGCTCCTCCTCGCTCTCAGACGACGACTCGCTGCTCTCCTCGCTCTCTGCTTTCTTTGCACTCCCAGCAGCCTTTGCAGGTGGCGGCACTTTCGCCAAGGTGGCCACAGGTGGCTTTGGCGTTGCCTTCACTGGAGCTGGAGTAGAGGCTGCCTTGTCTGCCAGTGCACTGGATGGAGTGCTTTTCACCGATGCCACAGAGGCCTTCGGAGTTTTCCCAGCTGACTGAGCCTATTGTTAAGGTTAAAAGAACAGTATGGACAAACTTGCTCAAGTGCTTTGCCATTTTAAACACCCCAACGGCACAGATCAGATTCAGGAGGGAGGAGGCAATCAGGGGCTGGTAGCCCTGCAATCGCCTGCCTGCATACACAGGTGCTGCCATGCATGTTGGTTATTTTAAGTTCGAAGTTCCCAAAGGGTGGTCTGGAGGAGGGCGCCTGTGATGCTGGGATGCAGCCCATTTTCAAAATAGGGTCCCCAAGACCCAAGCCTCCCAACACCTCCCGCTGTCAACCTCGGGGCAACTCACCTGTGGTGCCGAGGGGGGCTCCTCATCCTCGCTGTCCGATGAGCCACTGGTGTCCGAGCTGTCTGTTGGCTCTGCGGGTCTCACTGCATTGCCAGGGGCTGCTTTGGCTTGGCTCCCCACTGGCTTTGCTGGAGAGGCCTGTACCACATTTCCTCTGGAAGGTACAGGAGCAGCTGGCAATCTTTTTGCCAACGCTGCATTCACCTGGGCACCTGGAACAGCAGCTTTTACCTAGAAGGAAGGACACAGAAGAGGCAGCATTAGCACATGCCCACCTGCAGAGCCGACAAGTTCTTCAGGTATAGATACCCCAATTTTAAAAGCTGCACAGGCTCAAAGGCTTCAAGCACCTGAAAGGCAACTTTGTCAGTTCCTTTAGCGGTTTGGAAGACTTGCAGTTATACTGTCAACCTTGCAACTGCGTGTTTGGCCATCAAGACCCGGGTCTTGCCAGGAAGGTTCCTTTGCTTAGCCATTGGACATGAAGATAACTGAGGGGCATCTCATGCCTGTGCTGACTAGAATAGCTTCAATTAAAGGAGGCTAACAGAAAGACATCAGTGCCACCCAGGGCCCTCCCCTGCAAATCTGAATATACCCCAAGGTGCTTCCCACTGACTCACAGACTCAAAGCAAGGGACCCTTGCAATGTGCAAACTTCCTCATGCCTTCAAGTGCAGGCAGGTGGGGGAGCAGAAAGGATACAGGTGCTCTAAAGCAATCCCGCATCCTTCAGTGCAAGGCACATCCTCAGACAGCCCTGCAAAGCAGCTGAGGAAGCATCTACATCTCGGAAGAGGCCAAGCCAGAGCCCCGCAGGGAGGTTTCTGCTCTCCTTCACTTAACTGCCTTCCATGCATTAACCAGCTGTCAGTACAGCATGCTTGTCATACAGGAGGGCTGCCTTGCAATGCTGCTGAAGCCCTGGGAGTCAGAGATGTGCTTTTGGGGCTGGGAATGCAAAGACTTTTGTACTCCCTTGGGAGTCTCTAGGTAGCTGGAGAGGTTTGGCTTTTCCCTTCAATAAAAGGCAGGCACAAGGCAAGTGCGAAGTAAAGATGTTGTTTTACTGTGGCAAAAAAGTTAAGCAAAAACAAGCCTATTGGTTGCTTCAAAACATTTTGTGGCTTCACAGCCTTGAGAAACTTGTGTACACACAGCAGCAACAATACCAGTTAAACCTATTTCAGGTCCAGGTTGTAGTACAACAAATTGTCCAAATATCTAAGAGTACCTCTCCCTTTGTCTGGGTGTGCATGTGTGTGCATGAGACAGAAAGATCATTGGTTACAAGGATTGCAATCCTTCATCCTTGCTGATTTTCCAACTCACTTACATCTGATCTAGAACTACAGAAAGTTTCTAGTGCCTTTATTTGTTGCTGCCAAAATTTCCATAACTCAGCTGCAGAAAGATTCTCCAACCACCCACAGCAAAACTGTAGTTTCTAAGAAGTGTGGGAGCTTCTTAGAAATTGACACTTCGAATTATATTGCCTGGACTGGTGAGCTTTTTTTAAAAAAAGAAGAATACCTATTACAAACTAATTTGCAAAAGCCTGCTTGGTCTCCTGGCAGAATCCTGGAGGACACTCATGCCCACGCTGGATCTCTTATGTCCTGCCCATTAGCGGCCACAAGCACCTTTGCCATCGCAATTGAGACTTGGCACTTCTGGGCAATCCAAAACAGGTAGAAATGCTCATTCAAATGCAATGCAGCAGTACTACATCTCTGGAAGGAGGCGGGTTGGCAGAGCTTGCATAAAGAAGCTCGGCTGATGCGCGTCCTTGCAGGAATCAGTGTTTTCCCTCATTTTGGGGCATCCCTTCCTTTGCATAAGCAGCAGACCCTGCCTGTATGACAAAATTGGTGGGCGCTGTATCTTGAGGAAGGGAATTGGTGAGGAGAAAGGAACCGGCAGAGGAGTAAGTGCCTAGTTGGATTCTGCCCATAAATGTACCTGCAGAGACTCTGCAGTACCTTCCATTAGTATTTTATGGCCAATGCAAACCATTTTGCTTTGCTGGAGCGTCAAAGTAAAACAAAGTGTTATTGGTCTTGCAATCATAGATGTAATACTTGTTTTGAAATCTGCCCAGAGAATATTGGCTAGTGGGAAGATTAAGCATAAAGTATAATAAAAGTTGCAGTGTATTCTTCCAAGTCTTGAATTTTAAAAGGTGTTAAAGGTGGCAATACGACATCTGATTGATCTCTGGTAGAATTACAGGTACGTAACTTCACTTGGCTAAATATTCAAGTGTGCCCAGTGCTTGGCTCAAAAGAACATTACTGCAGTGCTGAACGGAACAGAGGCATCAGCCTTCCCACCTGTACCTGGGACATTGTGGCTTGCCAAGCTGTTAGCCCAGGGCAGAACCCGCTACTTCCCTGCCCCCGGGACTATCAGCACGGCTGAGTCAAAGCAACTGCCCAACTCATGTCAATACTAACAGGAATTTTTGCCCCTGCAGCTGTTTGCAGGAAACGTCTTCAAGAACCCTTTCCATATCCACTACCAGTAAATGGGAGATCTTTGGAACTACAGCCAATTTTGAGCTTAGCTGCAGCTCATCATGCTGGAGGGAGGGGAGGGAAGGAAAAAGAAGTGAGATCTGCAGAACCTCATTTTAAAATAATTTTAATGCAAGAATCCTTGATACCCGTCTCTTCTTTTTGTTGTTAGTTGCGAAATCATGTCCGACCCATCGCAACCCCATTGACAACATTCCTCCAGGCCTCCCTGTCCTCCACCATCCCCCAGAGTCCACTTATGCTCAGGTCAGCTGCTTCAGTGACTCCATCTAGCCACCTCATCCTCTGCTGTCCCCTTCTTCTTTTGCCATCTATTGTTCCCAGCATTAGGCTCTTCTCCAGTGAGTCCTTCCTTCTCATTAGGTGGCCAAAGTATGATTTTCATCTTCAGTATCTGGCCTTCTAAAGAGCAGTCAGGGCTGATCTCCTCTAGGACTGACCGCAGTCCAAGGGACTCGCAGGAATCTTTTCCAGCACCACAATTCAAAGGCCTCAGTTCTTCAATACTCAGCCTCGCTTATGGTCCAGCTTTCACAGATATACATTGCAACTGGGAAAACCATAGCCTTGACTATACGCACTTTTGTTGGCAGGGTGATGTCTCTGCTTTTTATAGTATGCTGTCTAGATTTGCCATAGCTTTCCTCCCCAGGAGCAAGCGTCTTTTAATTTCTTGGCTGCAGTCCCCGTCTGCGGTGATCTTGGAGCCCAGGAAAATAAAATCTGTCACTGCCTCCATTTCTTCCCCATCTATTTGTCAGGAAGTGAGAGGACTGGATGCCATGATCTTAGTTTTCTTAATGTTGAGTTTCAGGCCAACTTTTGCGCTCTCCTCCTTCACCCGCATCAAGAGGCTTTTTAGTTCCTCTTCACTTTCTGCCATTAGAGTGGTATCATGTACATATCTGAGGTTGTTGATATTTCTCCAGGTAATCTTAATTCCAACTGGTGATTCATCTAGCCCTGCCTTTCTCATGATGTGCTCTGCATATAAGTTAAATAGGCAGGGCAACAATATACAGCCTTGCTGTACTCCTTTCCCAATTTTGAACCAATCAGTGGTTCCGTGTCCAGTTCTCACTGTTGCTTCTTGACCCGCATATAGGTTTCTCAAGAGACAAATAAGATGGTCTGGTACTCCCATCTCTTTAAGAACTTGCCACAATTTGTTGTGATCCACACAATCAAAGGCTTTAGCATAGTCAATGAAGCAGAAGTAGATGTTTTTCTGGAACTCCCTAGCTTTCTCCATGATCCAGCGTATGTTGGCAATTTGATCTCCAGTTCCTCTCCCTCTTCGAAATCCTGTGTGTACTTCTGGTAGTTCTCGGTCCACATACTGCTGCAGCCTAGCTTGTAGAATTTTGAGCATAACTTTGCTAGCATGTGAAATGAGTGCAATGGTGCGGTAGTTTGAACATTCTTTGGCATTGCCCTTCTTTGGGATCGGAATGTAAACTGACCTTTTCCAATCCTGTGGCCACTGTTGAGTTTTCCAAATTTGCTGGCATATTGAGTGTAGTACTTTTACTGCATCATCTTTGAGGATTTTGAATAGCTCAGCTGGAATACTGTCACCTCCACTAGCTTTGTTGTTGCTCAGACTTCCTAAGACCTATTTGACTTCACATTCCAGGATGTCTGGCTGGAGGTCAGTGACCACCCCATCGTGGTTATCAGGGATGTTAAGCTCTTTCTTGTACACTTCCTCTGTGTAATCTTGCCACCTCTTCTTAATCTCTTCTGCCTCTGTTAGGTCCCTGCCATTTTGGTCCTTTATCATGCCCATTTTGCATGAAACATTCCCTTCATGTCTCCAATTTTCTTGAAGAGATCTCTGGTCCATCCTATTCTATTCTTTTCTTTTGTTTCTTTGCACTGTTCATTTAAGAAGGCATTCTTATCTCTTCTAACTGTTCTCTGGAATTCTGCATTCAATTGGGTGTATCTTTCTGTTTCTCCCTTGCCTTTCGCTTCACTTCTTTCCTCAGCTATTTGTAAAGCTTCTTCAGACAGCCATTTTGCTTTCTTGTATTTCTTTTTCTTTGGGATGGTTTTAGTTGCTGCCTCTTGTACAATTTTGCAAACCTCCGTCCATAGTTCCTCAGGCACTCTATCAGATCTAACTCCTTAAATCTATTTGTCACCTCTACTGTATATTCATCAGGGATATGATTTAGGTCATACCTGAGTGGCCTAGTGTTTTTCCCTACTTTCTTCAATTTAAGCCTAAATTTTGCAACAAGAAGCTCATGATCTGAGCCACAGTCAGCTCCTGGTCTAGTTTTTACTGACTGCATAGAGCTTCTCCATCTTTGGCTCCAGAGCACATAGTCAATCTGATTTCTGTGTTGACTGTCTGGTGATGTCCATGTGTAGAGTTGTCTCTTGGATTGTTGGAAAGAGTGTTTGTTATGGCCAGAGTGTTCTCTTGAAAAAAAATTCTACCAGCCTTTGCCCTGCTTCATTTTGTACTCCAAGGCTAAACGTGCCTGTTATTCTGGTTATCTTTTAGCTTCCTACTTTAGCATTCCAGTCCCCCATGATGATAAGGACATCATTTTTGGTGTTAATTCTAGAAGGTGTTGTAGGTCTTCATAGAACTGGTCAGCTTCAACCTCTTCAGCACCAGTGGTTGGGGCATAGACTTGATGTTAAATGGTTTGTCTTGGATTCGAACTGAGATCATTCTGTCATTTTGGAGATTGTATCCCAGTACTGCTTTTCCAACTCTTTTATTGACTATGAAGGCTACTCCATTTCTTCTGAGGGATTCTTGCCCGCAGTTGTATACCTGATGGTCATCTGAATTATATTCACCCATTTCTGTCCATTTTAGTTCACTGATTCCTAAGATGTCAATGTTCACTCTTGTCATCTCTTGTTTGACCACATCCAGCCTGCCTTGATTCATGGATCTTACATTCCAGGTTCCTATGGAGTACAGATCTTTGCAGCTTCGGACTGTCCTTTCACCACCAGATACATCTGCAACTGAGTGTTCTTTTGGCTTTGACCCAGTCGCTTCATTCTTTCTGGCACTACTAGTACTAGCCCTCTGCTCTTCCCCAGTAGCTCACTGGACACCTTCCGACCTGAGGGGCTCATCTTCCGGCGTCATATCTTTTTGCCTTTTGGTACTGTCCATGGGGTTTTCATGGCAAAGATACTGGAGTGGGTTGCCATTTCCTTCTCCAGTGGATCACGTTTTGTCAGAGTTCTCTGCTATGACCTGTCCGTCTTGGGTGGCCCTGCACAGCATAGCTCATAGCTTCATTGAGCTATGCAAGCCCCTTCGCCACGACAAGGCAGTGATCCATGAAGGGGCTCTTCTTTTTAGGTCCCATGATTTGCAAAAGTGAACTAACCATCATTCTGGATCTGCTGATCATTTTAACTACACCAGGTGGTTTGTTTTCCGGGGGTGAGGGGGGGTGGGGAGTCTTATCTAGTCTAATACAAGCTGCTGCCTTTCTTTTTCATCTCCACATACTCCCTCCATGCTTTTTGTTAGACATTCCATTTAGGAGGAGAATCCATACTTGAAACGTTCAGAGCAGGAAGTGACAGTTAAAATCAAGGACACACCATCAGGGAAGACAATGTAAAACCCTAACCATGAGGTAGCTACCTGTGAACTACAATCACGGGCAATTCAAACTCTATACCAATCTTCTTTGTGGATTTTTTATTACGATTCTGGTCACATTAATTACTGCAAGGAGTTAAGAAAGAAAAATGTAATCTACTAAAGATCACATTTTCAAAGCCTGGCACAGCTTTGAAAAATATTCACAATCCAGAACTCATGAACATGAGTTCAGAAAGCAAAGGCTGTGTTCGGACAATCTGGGAAAGAGAAGGGAACATGATGGCTCCTTTCCCTCGCACATTTACTGGTCACAAGTTAGTGTGTCTGTATAACATGTGCATGGCCAGAGCTGATTTTAAATACAGAAGATGCATGATCATGTAATCCTCAGCACACATGAAAGGAAAAGCAACCGAGTCCCCTTATTCCATAGGAGCAATAATTTCTAACCTTCTGGCTCACTGGGATGGGGGAAGGCTCCTCCTCGCTCTCAGACGACGACTCGCTGCTCTCCTCACTCTCTGCTTTCTTTGCACTCCCAGCAGCCTTTGCAGGTGGTGGCACTTTCGCCAAGGTGGCCACAGGCGACTTTGGCGTTGCCTTCACTGGAGCTGGAGTAGAGGCTGCCTTGTCTGCCGGTGCACTGGATGGAGTGCTTTTCACCGATGCCACAGAGGCCTTCGGAGTTTTCCCAGCTGACTGAGCCTATTGTTAAGGTTAAAAGAACAGTATGGACAAACTTGCTCAAGTGCTTTGCCATTTTAAACACCCCAACGGCACAGATCAGATTCAGGGGGGAGGAGGCAATCAGGGGCTGGTAGCCCTGCAATGGCCTGCCTGCACACCCCAGGTGCTGAGCAGCAGGGCAGGAGGAGCTCTTGTGCCCATCCTGCTTGAGGGATCCTGTGGCCACCTGGTATTGCCACCATGCGTACCGAGTGCCTGGGCCTGGGCCTGATCCTGCATGGCTTTTCTTGTGTTCACAGACAGAACTTTCAAGACCAAATCATTTGTGTGGGGACTATAGGAAATGTGCACTGCGAGCCTATTCCCTAACTGTGGTGTAGCTGGGCTTTTAGGCTAGGCTTCCTTGAAGCAAGCAATACAATAAAACACCTTTGAGAACACTTCACATACATTTCCAAATACTTCACAACCTAAGAACATAAAAATTAAATTGTGTGTGACAGTTGAAACTACCACTAAACAAACTACAGAATGACAGGACTTAAGATTAGAGCACCATGCATGTTGGTTATTTTACATTAGAAGTTCCCAAAGGGTGGTCTGGAGCAGGGCACCTGTGATGCTGGGATGCAGCCCATTTTCAAAACAGGGTCCCCAAGACCCAAGCCTCCCAACACCTCCCGCTGTCAACCTCGGGGCAACTCACCTGTGGTGCCGAGGGGGGCTCCTCATCCTCGCTGTCCGATGAGCCGCTGGTGTCCGAGCTGTCTGTTGGCTCTGCGGGTCTCACTGCATTGCCAGGGGCTGCTCTGGCTTGGCTCCCCGCTGGCTTTGCTGGAGAGGCCTGTACCACATTTCCTCTGGAAGGTACAGGAGCAGCTGGCAATCTTTTTGCCAACGCTGCATTCACCTGGGCACCTGGAACAGCAGCTTTTACCTAGAAGGAAGGACAGTTAAGCAAACGTTGGTACAGCATTCTTGTCACATAGGAGTGCTATCTTTTAATGCTTCTGAAGTCCTGGAAGTCAGAGACTTACTTTTGGGGCAGAGACTAGGAATAGAAAGTGTGTGCTATTGCACTCCTTTAGGAGTCTCTGGCTAGAGAGGTTTGGCTTTTCCCTACAACAGAAGGTGTGTCTAAAGTAATCCGCTTGTTGTGCAAAGCAAAAATGTAGTTTTATTGTGGCACAAAAGTTAAGTAAGCAAAAACAAGCTGATTGGTTGCTCCAAAATATTTTGCACCTTCACAGCCTTGGGAATCTTGTGTATATCAAGTAGAAACAATGCCAATTAAATCAATTTTAATTCTAGGCTGTAACACGACAAACTGTGGAAAAATCAAAGGGTGCATGCATGTGTGAATGCTTCCCACAAGGCACTGCATAAGTGCAAGCCCATGAAACTGTACAGTCTCAACTCAAGAATGAGTCTTCTTTCCCATAAGCAAAGTGCCCAGTCAATCGAGTTTTCTTGCACAATGAAAGTTAATGCCTTTAAGCTGATGAGGTTGTACTGGAAGGCCTCTTCCCCAGTGCTGAAGCTTTTATCAGGCTGCAAGACTGCAATACAGTGACACAATGGCACTAGTTGCATTCAGTTGTAACCATCAGTCTGTGGCGGCCAGAGTGGTTTGGTAGGGCAGGAACTGTTCGCTAGGTGTTGCAACCCTGTGCCTCTGGGTAGTGCGCACTTTTGGCCTTTGGACCAGGAGCTTCACAGAAGTGCTTTCTCTGCTATATGCCTGCCATGTGTTTGGGCCTTCAGCCCCGGCAGGTACAAAGACAAGCCCAACCCTTAACCACCCTCCTCTAATTCCAAGCTGGAGAGAGAGAGAGGGCAGAAATAAGACAGAGAAGGTGAGGAGAGTCAGAAGGGAAAAGAAGGCTGGCTTGAACTTTGGGCCCTTCACATTTTAAAAGGTTACCCACTCCTGCCTTAGAGGAACTTTTAGGTAGAGTTTACCTGGGGTGTTGCTGCTTTTCTATCTTCATCTTCAGAGTCAGAATCATCACTCGTGTCCTCACTGCTGCTCTCTGCTTTCTGTGCAACTAAAGGACAGAGTAAAGGCATTTGCACTGAGGTCATTTAGCAAAGAGAACATTAAATGAAGCTTTAAAGTTGCCAAAATCAAGATGCTCAGAGTTCCAGGAGTTCTGTTTTTTGTTTTACCCTAGGAACTCCCATAATCCCACCTGTCCCTTGTCCCCTGCCCACATTCTCAATCACTTATGCAGGAGTAACTTCAATTAAAGTATTTGCAGACTGACAGGTGTGACTCGGTTGCTTGCTATTTAGCCCTGCAACAAGCTTATGCCACAAAAGGCATTAAACTATTGCATTTTTTTGTTACTGGAAAGCCTCTGTAGGCTTCAGTTAGCATGACCAGCACATGTGTGCCACATGCTTCAGATCTAGCAACCACATACTCAACATTATATTTTTCTACCTATGCTTTTCAGGCATATTTATTTAAGATATTTGTATGCGGTCCTTTGAGAGAGCCTCAGGATGGCTTACACAAATAAAATACCAATACATAATAGTATAACATAAATAACGTAACATATATGTCTAAGAATATTTCTTTAAGGTAGAATCAAGTTATTTTAGCAGTTTTGTGTTCTCAGAGCTGATAGCAATAACCAGAAACAAAATACTGAATTTTTTACATGCCATATTCCTAATATATAAAAAACCGTGTCCTCCCACCCAAGCTACTTGCAGTGTTGTTTTTCTGGGGATAAGATTGAGAAGAGAGAAAGAATTAAGAACTGTGCTGAGTTCTTTGAAAGAAAAAAAAGCAGGATATCAATATAATAAATAGAGCTACAAGCATCTGGACTGCCATCAAACTGGACAGCCTGAGACATTTTAGACAGCTCAATGCAATTGTTATGCTTTTAACCCTCACAGCTACTGAGCAATAGGCATGCTCACAATATTTAATGACAGGTGTGCCTGCTTGGAATCATTGTGCTCTGCTTGACATTCAGAGGAATTTAATTTCCTTTTATATTATTCACAGAAACAAAAACTGTGAATAATAATAAACAAGAGAGCCCATACTAGCAGGCTTCCATTACTGATTGGACAGGCTCACTGTAAGCTGAGAGCAAAAGCGTAGGTCCCGGAACCCAGAACAATTGCCTTCCAATGCACATCTCAAGCCAAGTGACTTCTTACCTTGCTTTGGAGGTGGAATTTTCCCCACAGCCACTGTTTCCTCCTCTTCCTCACTCTCTGATGAGCTGCTGCCACTTTCAGCATTCACAGTCTTCCTTGCAGCAGCTGCTTGTGCTGGACTCTGTCTTGCAGGAAAAGGAGCCTGGGGAGCAGGTCCCTGTTTATCTGAAGGGACTTTCTTGTGTCCAGCTTTTGCTGCACTTGGAGTTGGAATAGCAGCAACCTTATTGGGAGTTGCCTTGTTCTGCTGCTCTTTTGCCTGGACAGCCGCTACAGCCACCCCCTTTCCCGCAAAGGAATTTGTTTTCTGAGCAGCAAGTTGCAGCAAGTCCGTTTTGTTTACTGCCACAGGATTTTTCACCTAAAAGCGGGGAGGAGGGCAAATGAAGAGGTTATACTAGACTTTTCAAGTAATGTTTATGGTAACACTGCTGTGTGCATCATATATATGGCCTGTGTGCAGACCACCTACCTGCTCACACAGAACCTTCGATAAGCCCCTGACAACTAGCACCTTTGTATCTTTGGGTTTGGCAGAATAAGGCCTATTCAAAATAGGCATATGAATTTGTTCTCCAGCTCAGGACCAGCACTACCATTAGGCAGAATGAGACGGGCAGCTTAAGCACGAGGCATGAGGGTGCAGGGAGGACAGAGCCTGCTAAACTAAACTGCTATCCCTCAGGTGTAGAGGAGGATGCTGTTTGGTTAAGAAATGCTTCAAGTGCTACTCCCATGGCTTCTGTAAATCGAACTGCAGAACTAGCTTAGCATTTCGTCTTGCCAGTTTTTGAAACTTTTGTCTTGTTACCATTAAACTTTCTAGAATTCTGTGTTATGCTCTTGTATGTTCTTATATTCATGTGACTACTGCTTTAAAAAGTCAAAGTACCTTTTATAGAAAGCTCTCTCATTTTTTTGCTCAAAATTGAAAACATTTTCTGTTAATACCTGCCTTTCAGAACAGGTGCACCATTTGAGTAATTCTCACACACATTGGTTAAGACAAGTAACTTGCAGTTTGCTTAGCAATAACTTATTATAAATAATCTAATAGATGTTTGGAAGAGCAAATATTCTTTTATTCCCTGAGAAAGTACATTTTCCAATTGTCTTCAAAAGCATAGCAACCTGGTTCATGCATAACAATAACCTAGGATTCAGTATGGATTACCACTGAATTGAGGCTTGTTGTTAAATCCTAGGCTGTTATTACACGGACATTTTGCACTATGGCAACCCAGGAACTCATGGTTTGTAAACTGTGGGTAGTTCGTGCTTAACAACCCATACTTAAACCATAGTGCAGTTTTCACGAAGAACAGCAACCTATAATTCAACAACAACCCACAATTCAATGATTCCATCCTCAAGTGTACCCTGGCTTATTACACATGAAGCAAGTAATTGAATTTGCAGGAAAAGAATAAAGCCAGTTTTCATACTCATAGTAAACTACTCCAGTTATACAAACATTCACAATTCCTTCCAGGACAAGCAAGAATAAATAATGCCTGCTTACTGTCTTTCCGGTGACCGCTTCCTCTTCGGAAGACGAATCCTCATCCTCACTGCTACTCTCAGCCTTAGCCATAGAGCTGTTATTCACAGGCAGGTTAGCTGTAACACAGGTGAAGGGGGCGTGTAACATGTGGAAATTCACAGACTTTAGTTTCCCTTCATACGGGGACACTGACATCTTTCTGTCTTCAAAGACAGTGTGTGAAAGAATTTACAAAGTCTTCCAGTACCTCACAGATAAAACCTTCTCCCTGAGCAACTGGTTTACAGCAACCATTTTCATTTTAAGGCCCAAAACATAAATTAACCAACCCCCTCCTCACCCCACAACAAAAGAGTGTTGCAGTCTGGTGCTACAAAATGGAACTGCACAGGTGTTGTTCTATTTATTTTTTAATGTAAGACATTTATATCCTATTCTTCAGCTGGAAAGGATCCCAGACTTCCATATCTATAGAAACAAGACAGCCCTTCTCCTCAAGACTGCAATCTAAAATGAGGGGACACAAAAGGAAAAAGGATGGAAGGATGAAAGGAAAACTAGTCACTGATGTTTAAGGTTATATGCTTCTTATAATGACCAAATGGAATGCAGCTGTAATGTGGTCAGACCTTGTTTGGCATTTGTATCATGGCCAGCTGGAGCGGAGGCAGCTCCAAAAGGAAAACAGCCACAAACTGCTATTAACTCAGCTCAGCCAATGGAAGCCCTTCTTCCCCTTGCTCCCTCTTCTACCACCTCCCTGAATGCATCATCAGTCTTGGCTGTCAGAGTCTGATGAAGCTCACCTGTGGCAGTCCTGCTTTCTGCACAATTTGTGTAGAGGCTTCCCTACACAACTTAAGTGGTTCCAGCCAGACCAACACAACTTAGTTTGGTGATATGCAAGGGAACCTAAGTGGTCACATGACTGAGAATCTCAACGCAAACTTCTTTATTGATTGATTTCACTTCTGCACTGCTCAACAGTCAAGCTCTCTGGGTGGTTCCCAGTGATCTGCACATGAGCTTCACCCAGTGGTTTAGTTTTCAGGCAGATGATCCCCGCCCCGCAGCACACACACACCTCAGGTAACGTACAAAGCTAGCTTTGGAGTGATTCTTCCTCTACTGCTGGAGGGAGCCTTGGGCACTCATTTTAAAACCACTCAATAGCAGAGGTAAGATAAGACATGCACCCAAGAAAAGAATAGAAAAAGACTTGCACCATGGAAGCAATTATCAATGCCTGATTTCTCAGTTTTGCTGCTTCTGATACTGGCAGCTGTGAAGCACCTAGGTCAGTGGTGGCGAACCTACGGCACACGTGCTGCAGCAGGCACGCAGAGCCCTCTCTGTTGGCATGCGAGCCAAGTCACCCCAGCATCTCATAACAGTGCACACAGGGGCCATGTGCATGCTCAGAAAGGAGTAGTGGCACCAGCTGATGATATCACAAGCCGCGACTCATTAGCCGTGACTTGTCTGAGCTTTCGCATGGCTGGTCAGTGCGCTGCCAAGGATGGATGGATGAATGGATAGATATATTTGCTTGGACTGGCTGTGAGTTGTTTTTTCTAAACTAAAACCTCAGTTTTCAGGTTTTACTGCAGTGTTGGCACTTTGCGATAAATAAGTGGGTTTTGGGTTGCAGTTTGGGCACTCGGTCTCCAAAAGGTTCACCATCACTGATCTAGGTTGTAGGAGTCCACACATTATGCCCAGGCATAACAGCCAAAATTATTTCTACTACCCAGAAATAAAAATTATTTCTACTACCCAGTATAATATAGTATAAGGTCCTGTGAATACACATAGAACCAAAAAGTTGCTGGCCACTCCTGCTACAGCATGGGTCCTCAAACTATGGCCCACGGGCCGTATCCGGTCCGCCATACCCATTTATCTGGCCTGCCTCAGAGGTTTTGGTTTCACGGCCACACAGCGAGGTGGCGGCCTGCTCGCACGGAGATCGTTTGGACTCGCTCGGAGAAAATGATCTCCGCGTGAGCAAGCCGCTGCCTTGCCCCACGTGTCCCCCCTGCCCCCTCACCCCCACCGGCCCGCACCCCCTGCCGAAAAAGTTTGAGGACCCCTGTCCTACAGCATTAAGGGCTAATTGTATAGATGGCATTGCTGTCCCCTATAGGTCTCTTCTTGAAAATAAATGTCCCTACTCTCTTGCAAGCCTAGCAAACATCTGTTTTCAAAGCAAGGATTAAAGATGGCTGGGAGGTACTAACTTCTCCCTCCACCACAGATATTGACTTCTCCCTGTGCTACTGTAGTTTCCTTTCACAACCAACTCTCTTGCTGTTTTGTTATTTGTAATCAGGCCCCAGAAAAGAACAAATGAAAGCTGGCATTTTTCTAGTTGCTTTTGGACATGGAGAAAGACTGCAAGGGAAGACACCTGTAAGCACGAACAATTTGGAGCTGTCCCGGCGATCTCTCATCCAGCCAGTCCATCTGCAAAGGAAACTATCTTGCTGTTCGTTTTTTTAAACAACATGAAAGTGAAATTAAGTGGCAGGAACTGGTTGAGGAGTATTTGGAAGGAAAATATTTTCAGGTTGAGGGGAGAAGGCTGGGGCTGCAAAGGTTCTTTAGCACCAACAGCAGTGTTCCTGGTGAAGGACAGGACTGGAGGAGGAAAGCAGAACAGATACTTGGGGAAAGCAGATTTTCCCAAGCACAGGAAGAGCTCAGTACCAAGAAGCTGAAAGTTATACTGCCAACACTGACACCCACTTCACATATGCAATATTTCCCGAATGGGAAGAGAAGCAGCGGGAGAAGGAACCCTTGCCAATGCCATTCTTAATTTGAGAACCGGCTCTCTCCCCACAAAAATACTTCCGATTTTTCAGGCCACAGATTTAGCCAATGCAACACAACCACCCTCCCTGACCATTCTTGCTTCTCGGGATCAAAGACTTTCTCAAACTGCTCTGCTAGCAATTGGGCTCGTTCAAAGATTTAAGTTTTAAAAGGTACAAAAGAAGTCTTCAGGAAGGAAAGGGGAACTCTAGACAGGCACCGCAGAAGTAAGATTATTTTACTTCTGTTTTTCACTTGCTGAACTTTGTAAGTAAAAACCTACTGGCAAAATTAGATTTTCCCCCGAATTCAATCCCAATCTCTGTGTGTCTGTGCGATGTATTTTAGACTGTAAACCCAAAGGTGGAGACTGCCTTATTTCTGATCTTTGTGCACTGCTCTGGGAGTCTTTCTGGCAGAAGAATGGAGTAAAAATGTTTTAAATAAACACATTATATCTAGCCTGTCCACAGATCCATGCTTTCTACCACCGGAGAAAGTATTGCACTGTGACAAGTGAAGCCAGCATGTTTTTCAATGCAGGTATTTCAAACAGCCCCACAAGCATACCTTGTTTGACTGCTCATGCAAGATCGGTTCTTACTTTTTGTGACATTTGCGGCTTCCTCCTCTTCTGAGCTCTCTGAGCTGCTCTTAGGGTCTGGAACTCTGATCTTTGCCGGACTGCCTCTGCTGATGTCATCGGCCTTTCGTTTGGGTGCTCGCGAGGAAGCTCTGTTAAACAGATTGTACAAATGTGTTGTTGTGCTGGAGTGGGTGAGAGCCCCTGTTGCCCATTGCTCATCACAAGAAAAAGGATGCTGCTGCTTTGTCTTACTCAAAAACTGGGACTCAAGCTGTTCTTGTCTAGGCAAACTTCCACACAAGCTATGGCTAATAAGACTTCACTTATTAGAGAGAAGAATAAAGCTACAAACTGATTATATCGAAGACCATGAAAATAGGATGCAGAACTTGATGAAATCTAGTAATTGCTACATCCTTTTGCATGGGTAATTGGAACCTGGAGGCTTTTTATACCAAGACCAGTACTGATTCTCTGCTAGTTAAATAAAAATATTTGAGGCCCAGATAACATAGATGAGAAAGAGAAGAGGACTTGGGTAAATGGATCACTCACCCTCACACTACAGTAGATGAGTCCAAGTAAAAAGAGGAATATTAAACTAGAAACACCCCGACATGCAAGGATTGTTAACATATTGTCATGATTCATGGTGGCCCTGGGCTCCTCCCCTTCCCACCCCATCACATCCCTTCTGCAAGGTCACTCTGATGACCCCTGGAGGTGCAGCCAGCTCTGCACCTTCCAGCCCTCCTGTGTGCAGGGGGGCATGGGGAAGGAAATTCAAGGAAAGACCCCCAGCAGTGAGGCAGGAGTTCTGTTTCTGGCCCCAAAACTGGGAATTTGAAGAATCCTTTGGTCCCCTCAACAAGGAATAAGTCAAAGCTATGACTGTCACATTAGTCATTATCAAGCAATTTATGTACACAGTTTCTTATTTATAGACAAAACCTACTTCTAGATAAGTTATAGACCAAAGCTCAGACTACTTCACACTCTCAAACATAACAAGGGACATAACAAAAGATCAAGACGACAATGATCAATTGAATGAGAGGGTATATGTTTGATAAAAATCATCTATCATCCATCTAGCTGCTTCTCTCATAACGTATAGAAGCCTAATATAACATGTTTCCTGTACTAAGCCCATTTCTGGTACTTTCTAAGTGCCACCTTTCCCGGAGGTCCTATGTAGCCTTTCTACAAAGGAAGTTGCTAGTCTCCAGGAGAAGAGGAAAACCCCCAACAAGTGTGGGGGTCCCAGGCTGTCCCCCATGCTTTTCCCTGAAAGCATGGGCAGGGCTGGGAGCTGCTCCAGGTAGGCCTGTTCCTGCATTTTTCAGGAGGACTGAGTGCAGAGCGCCTCCACACAAGGACCGACCCTGATTCATCCAGGATGCCACCCCCTGGCATGGGTTCCTACACAGGCAGAGCTCCTTCTTACACAGGCCAAATGCAGGGTCAGCAGAGCTGGAGTGCACAGCATCCTCATACATTCAAAGAATGCATTGAGGTCTCAGGTGCAGGCAGCCAGGGTTGGAATGCCAGGACCAGGAACAGGTGCATGATGGAATCCTGCAACAGGTTCAGAAGGCCAGAAGCAAGAGTCATGTTTGTTTAACCATCCAGGGACAAGGCCAGGGAGATGACAGATCCAAGCAAACAAAGTCCAACATTTCACAATCCAAAGGAACAGTCCAAAGGTCAATTTCCAGAAAGGCAGTCACATTCACGAGCAAGGCAAGGTCAGGGAAGATGGGTGCAGGTCCCTGGGAATCGGGGTCAGACAAGAGATAAGGGTGGAAGCAGGAGTGAGGTGGGCAAGAGGCAGGAACCAGGATGCAGGCAGGGCAATTCAGTGAACCTGAGCACAAGGGAGTCACAGGGTGGCTTGTGTTGCTGTGGCAACGAGCAGCAGGGCAGGGAGACCTCCAGGGCCCTCTGCTGCACTGCAGAATTGCTCCTCAGGCATTCCTTGCAAGCCCCTGCAAAGGTGTCCCTGGTTCTGCAGGCACTCGCAGGGCCACTCAGGGCCTGATCTTGACAACACATGGCGGGCCCGCAGCCAGAGGCAGACTTGTTGGGCAGGGGGTCGTTGCCCTCTCCACACTTTCTCTGCTGCATTATTAAAATGAACAAATGATTTAAAAACAGTTTTAATTTTGTCTTCAAGAGGACTACAAGCCCGATGAACTGCCCCCTCCCTTTGCATCCCCCGGTACTTTTAAGCTGGCTATCAGCCTGAAGAATGAGGGGGCTGCCCAACAGCAAAGGTCGTGTGCAGCAGGAAAAGGAGTGGGGTCATTTTTGTTTTCCATTCATTCCAATGGAAGCCAGTCCTTTGCTGCCTCTTACTTAGCCATTTCCCATCAAAATGGCATGGAATTGGCCTTCTGCAACCAATACCAAATGTTAGAATGACTAGAGTTTCAATGAAGGGTCCTCTCATTTTAGAGGCAACTAAAAAAAAAAGTGCACACAAAGAACAGAACTGTTGCGAAAGGAACAGAGCTTTTTACTCAGTTTCTTTCTCTGCATTTCCTCCACCCTGGGACCTAGCTGTGAATGCTGCATTGCATCCAGACCAGTGCCTCCAGTGCAATGCAAACTGGAAAGAATGCAACTGAATAACAGAAAGTAACAGAAGGACTTTCTTATTTTCATCTATGGAATTTTATTTACTTTGAACTGGTTAGAAAAGACAATAGATACTTCATTTACTTTATCCAAGAATTAAAAAACAAAACAAAACACACACACACACACACAAAGACTAAGGGCACAACCGTACCACCCATGTAGCAGATGCACAGAACCCTCGCATTGCCAATAGCCTAACATGCAGTAAGCAGCAACCATGTTCCAAAATTCCTACACTATTGAACATTCCCTTCCAAAAGCATGAACTAGTCTGACCAACAATTCTACTGATTATTCAGTCATATTTGGTTAAAAAAAAAAAAAGAACTTGCAGGAGTAATATGCCACTTACTGAGAACTTTGTATTGTGCTTCCTTTATGTTAGCAGTGATCAGTAAAGACACAGAAACCATCCAGATGCACAGTCAAATGCTCACCTAAGTCAGTCTCCTGTTCCCACACATATGGCAACTATTAATATTAAACATTGATTATAATATTTAGGGCACATTTATTTTTTGCATTTGCTTTAAGAATAAATGCACACTCTCCTAGGAAATGTAACATTGCAGGGGTGACCAGACTTGCTCAACAGAAAGGCCAAATATGGTAAATGTCAGGTGTTTGAGAGCCACAAGCAGGCGCCCACGGCTGGCAATCCAAGAGCCGCAAAATAAACTCAAAGAGCCTGATGCAGCTCCCACGCCTCAGACTGGCCACCCCTGTAATATTGCAAGTATGCATACAATCAGTTTGTTTATTTATTAAATATATTTAAAGGCTGTGCATTAGCATCCCTAATTTCTTCTGAGATTACTCATGCAACTAGCCCCAGTGTTGCTTGAAACATATGAGTTCAACAAAGACTGTTGCAACAAGGATTTCTTTTAGTAGTGAAAAAATTCTCTGTTTTGGCAAGACTGTCTTCTAGTTATGCGCAGTGCTTGTGACAGGCTCCAAAGGAAAGCCAAGCTACCAGCAGGGTAGGTGAACTTGCCTAGAGAAGTCAACTGACCGAGTTTTTCCAACACAACTGGCTCATCCTGGGTTATTTAACCCATGATGTGCTGCCATACGCTACAGCCATTTTGAATTCTAAATGGAGCTTGTGCCATATGGTCTAAATCTGGTCGTCATTATTCAAGGGTCAAACAGTGTTTTGATAGTTCACATTCCAAGAAACCTGAGAACAAAATTTTCCTATTTAGCAGTGGGAAATCTACGAGTTTCCCTTGCTATGGACCACAGGAATTTGGATATGACTGCATTTCTGCAGCGCTACCTTGGTCAAACTCATGTCCTCCAGATGTGTCTAACTAAAACACCCATTATCCCCAGCCACCATGGCCAGCGTGTGCTAGTGTCTCTTTTTCTGGTGGAAAAAGACACTCTACACACAAGTAGCCAAAATGCAGAACAAACAGTTTCAGAAAAAAATGGCATTCATTTTCAAGCTGTTACAAGTAGCCTCCCCAAGCTCAGTGGCAATTGCAAGGGATTTCAAAACAAACCGCTGACAACAATGACGAGAACAAAAATGTCCTAAGAACAAACTGGTTACCTTTTCTCTTATATGAGAGACTGAAAGTGGCCGAGCTCACTTTATCCAGCCTAGATGTACACTCAGTACCCTCCTTACGAAGAACAACCCGTACTTATGAACAAGCAAACCCTGAAATCCCACCTCATCCTTGTGTGGCAAGTGGGCACCCATGTGCACCAGCCAGAAAGGAGAGGAAGGAAGGAAGGAAGGAAGGAGGGAAGCATAGGAAGGGAGGAGGGAAAGGGAAGAAGGAGGGGGAAAGCGTCTAAGGGTGAAGTCAAAACTAGTTCCACTGCGGCCAAAGAACTGCAGTAGCATATCCAAGCCAGTGTGTTTTGGATCATGGGAGTTAGTGTTGCCTTCTGTAACACTGTATTGTATTTTGTTTGTAACCATGCCTCCAATGTATAAATCTGATGCAAGTGCAGGTGATGCATCCAAGGAAAGAAAAACAATCACAGTCGAAACTAAAGTGGAAATAATAAAGCGATCAGGGAAAGGTGAGATGCCATTGGGAGTATTGGGCTTTAGTCATACAACAATCAGATTCTCTCTCTCTCTCTCTCTCTCTCTCTTCAGAACCTGTAGTTACTTTATTATTACTGCATTGTGTTCAAGATGTTTTTGTGCATATGGAAGTGTTTTTAAGTGTTTTATATGCTTTTTATATAAGTAATCTGACTTAAACACAAATTCAACTTAAAGACTGAATGGAATGGAACTCAGGACCAGGGATCAGTATTTCCAAAAGGGACTAGAAAAGTTAAAGTGCAAAAATAAACAGTATTATAATAAAAAGGGAGCCATTAAGCAAGAGACAAAAGCTTTCAATCAATAATAGTTAAAACAAACTTACTTCCATTGAATGAAGATATCTCTAAGAGGGATGGGGCATGACGGAAAGGTTTTCTGTAAAAGAGAAACAAATTATGGCTTTTCGCTATATGTAATCTTTTGTTAGCAGCTTTAATCCAGAGCTGTAGACATCATGAGACTATTCCTTAGTAGCAGCTTAGCTTTGATTTCCAAAGCAAAAGGATTATGATTATTTATTTCATTTCTATAACCACAGAAAAGACAACTGAGGTCTTCTTTATGTTCTTAGCAAAAAAAAAAAAAAGTTCTTATAGCCACAATCTAGAAGCCTACATAATTCAGCGAAATTTGAACAAATTAGGTTAGGACTCACACAATGCAATCCTATGCATGTCTGTTGAGAAGTAAGCCCCTTTGAATTCAATGAAACTTACTCTAGGATTCACAGGTATGACACTACAGCTTAAATTTGCAATGCTCAGCCTATTATTTTAATGTAAGCCTGATTTTCATGGAATAAAATTGTATTGAGATGTTTTTCACAGAGAAGAAAACAAGGTAGTTTCTCTGTATCCAAAGGTAACTTGAGAATTAGAAACACAATGGTATCATGTTATAGTCAGTTCTAAAGCTCCATGGTTTCTACAGAGAAAAGGAGTCAACAACATTCAACCATACTGCTCTTAAGGTATTTGCATATCAGGGATTTGCAGTCCCTGAGGTCTGCAGAGTGACAACCACAAAAGACACAACTGCAAGTAATTTTAACTAGGATTCAGTAAGTCAGCCACAGAACTCACTTTCAACAGGCCTTGGCACATCGAAAGTAAATAATGGTTTCTTAGCATCTACAGGTGTTTTTGTTGTTCATTCAAAACAGTCAGCCTACATATACTTCATATTAAGTGGAGGTGGGGGTCCTATATCAGGGATTACTATTTTTGATCAATCAAAAATAGATTTGTTTAACCAACTGGCATTTTTTTAAAAAAGCATTATTAGTATTATATTCAACTTATGGGTTCACATTTATGCTAATCATCGTAACCCACTGTTATAACTTTTAACTATGTTAGAAAATGTTTCCATACAATGTCAACCATTTCCTGAACAATTAGGAACATAAGAGCCACACTGGATTGGACCCCAGAACCATTTGCTCCAACATTCTCTTCACACAGCGGTCAGCCAAGCTACCCATGGAAAGTCCTCAAAAATGTATGAATGCATTCTGCTTGTTTTCCCCAGCAATTGGTGTCCATAGACATACCATCCCAACACTGAAGATGATCTAAAAACATCATGATTAGCAGTCAGGGTTAGCCTTATCTGTGAAGTTCCCTAATCTTCCTTTAAGCCATCCAAAGTGAAAAAAGGAACTCAATGATTGAGCAACAGAGAGGCCAACAACCAAGTCGTGAAGCCTGTCTGGAGGATGTGGAGGGGAGAAAAAGATAATTGGCTTGAAAGAAAGTTGGCTACTTCCTATCTCATCCTCCCAGTAGTTTTATGAGACAGGGGGTCATACAGCAAAGTGAAGTTGGAAAGGAATGAATTAGTAAACTTGTAGTTATAAGCATGCAGGTGTAATAGGTTGATGAATATTAACTCACACACCTTGAATAGACAATGGGCTAATTATACTGCACATGTGATGTATGTAGGTGTATGTAGTGGGATGAGATGGGAGATAAGAAGTAGGCGGATGGAAGGACTGTAACTTCCGAGTACATTACTCAATGAAGGAAAAGGGGAGGACTGTGGCAGATGGGGGTAAAACGAGCTGTTTTGTGTGTTTGTACTTTGAAGAGAGAGTGGGCTCTCCCAGTCTATTGCAATAAATGAAGGAATCGCCTCACTCTCTTGGTAGTTTTGGTTATTTAACTTGAGGAGAAGTAATTTCACAGCTTTTTGCATAACATAAGTGATGGCCATCTCAATTTGTGGTAGCAAATTTCTTAGATTTAACTATGTATTGTGTGAAGGATTTATTTATCTGTTCCCACTATTTGGCTTTGTGAGATGACCCTGGATTCCAATATTATAAGAAAAGGAGAAAAGTATCTCCACACCTGCTTTCACTCTGCATAATTTTCTACATCTCCATCATGTTTCCCTTTATCTATCTTTCTTCTAAGCTAATAGTCCCAAACATTGCAATCTACCCTGCCCCAGCCCCTTGATCAGTTTAAGATGCAATCCTATGCATGTTTAAACAGAAGAAGATCTAAAACTGGGAATACTGGTGTTCTAGCACTTTTTTCTGCCTAAAGATGCACCGAATGTCACAGTTAGGTTCTTTTCTTCAGTTTTTCAAACTGTACAGTATCCATTCTGGCTTCTTGTTGGCTTTCAGCCTGGTATATTAGTCGGCTACCGTTATGTCAAAAAATGAAATAGAACACAGAACAGCAACTTCAAAGTCTACTTTTACATCATTTTCAAACAGTCCTACACATGTATGTGCAGGCATTTCAGTTAGATGTAGCCTACCCGCTTCTCTGAGATTTTGTTAAGAGTACAGTTCTCACCAAATCTTTTAGTGTTTTCTTCACTGAGACTTTGTTAGGTACCCACAACAAGCCTTCTTCAGCTGCTCACTCACTTTCTCCTAACTTTTTCATTCTTCAGCCAGGCAGGACAGGATAACAGGGCAGACATGCTTCCAGTCTGAAGCAGGGTTTGACTGGAGAGGTGAAAAGGTCACTCAAAGGGGATGGGTCAGGTCAAACTGGCAGCAAAGGTGAGACATGTATTACAGCATATGGGCATCCAACCTGGGACCCATAAGCACCACTGTGCCCATAACACCAGAATATGCTGTCCACAAATCTATTTCCTCCCTCTGCAGGTTGCTGGACTGATTCCTCCATCTATTTGCACAAGGGAAAACATCACCTCTCTCCTGTGACTCTGAGGGCAACAGAGTCCTTGGGTTTCGCCTCCCAGGTCAGTAGGTTTTCTGCATGGTCTACTTCTTCTTCAAGTAAAACCAATGGATGAACTGCTCAGCTGGCTTTAATACAAAGAAGGGGGTAGGGGAGAATGAACCAAAGAAAGACACTCCAAGCCCAAGCCAGTTCTCCTGGCTGCAATCTCAGCAAGGAGAGGGCTCCGCATTACAAAGGGTGCCCAAATTGGGCCCAAAGGGTGCCCAATAGATTGCCATTGATGCACATGCCAGCCATGTGCCATACTTCCATAGCTGGTATGCTTGAGAAAGCATGTCAAGGTGTGCCATGGATGCACCAATCTCGACATGTGCAGCTCTGCTGTGCAAGAGAGGATTGGCCCAGAAATTCTGCCTAACTGTAGAAGCAATGTTGCAGATAGCCAGAGCAGGGGGACCAGTCGACTGCAGCAGGACAACCCCAGAGGCCTTCTGTTTGTGAGCCCCTGCTGGGGCGTGGAGCCTCCAGGGCAAGTGCCTAACCAAGGCCATCCCTGAGGCAACCTTGATTGCCATGCACACATTACTATGCAAACACAGCCACCAGTGAACAATAGGGAGAGACACAGCAGCTGGGCACAACCTCTCTCACCTTGTGATGAAGAAGAGCGGTGTTTGTCTGGCCACTCAAAGCACTGCTCCACAGTTTTGTGTTGGTAAAATTGGTACTGGGCAAGTAGATAGACTTGAACCAAGAACCACTTCCCATACAGGCCCAGACCCATGAGTCACAGAAACAGAGATATGCCAATCTCTCTATCAAGTCCTACAACTTCAAGCCTGATTACTCCCATTCCATGTGTGAATAAGGTTCTCCTCTTTCATTGCAGACAGCAACCTTGACTGCCTAAGCCAGTTTTTGTCTCAATTTGATTAGTTATAAATGTCCCTTTATCTGTTAAAGCAATTGCCAGGGATTATGTGTATCAAATCTCTCTAGTATTATCCTAAAACATTGTATATTTGTTACAGGTGGTAGGAGAAAAAAAGTTTCATCCTGGAGGAAACATTCGGAGTAACTTTTCCTAACTTGACATCCTTCAGAGGTGTTGGATAACAATGCCCATGTTTGCTGGTGATGATGGATGCTGCAGTCCAACATATAAGGATGGCAGCAAGTTGGAAAAGATTGCCTTAGAACTTATAAGTGAACATACTAGAGATGAAGAAGAAAGGCTACAGAATTTTTATTGGACAAACGGAAAAAGACTAGCAGGGCTGCAGAGAACTCACAAGAAAATTAATACACAGTTTACTACTTCCAGTTAGCAAAGGTTTGCACACCAAGAACCCTCCATGACAACTATGGTAAAAATATTCAGTCTTTTTAAAGAGTTTTGCTATACCATTTTAAGGTATACAAATATTTAAAGTCATGTAAAAAACACCTTTAACCACCCACAGTAACACTGGAATTTGGTGCATTCTGTATTCACCTCCATTTTCTATCCTCAAATCAACTTCAACTATCAGTCTTTACCACGCTGGTGGTTTCAGCGTTGGAGCCTAAACCACCCTAACTGTAAACAAGTTTTAGGATGGGCCACCAAGACTTAATGAGAACAAGTGGCTTGCTCATGTGCACAACAGAGTCAATATTAAATTGTTTAAACTCCATGTTGCTTGAGGCTATATTCAAACACCACACTAGCCCCTTGCTTCTTCTATTCCTGATATTTTTAATACATTCAATATTTAGCAATGGTATATATCATTCAAATTTATAGTTAGCATAACACTCACATACTTTATCAGGAACTTGCTTCAGGTTCATAAATACATGTAAAGCCACAAATCAGCTTTAATTGGAACACTTGCATTTTCCAAGCTTAGGGCAAATCACAGGTGTGCTTGTAAACCTGTACCCATAAACCAGCCTCATGATTAGATATAGCAGACAAAGCCTTCAGATTATTTTAGGATACCTCACATGGAATAGTTTCCTTTATCCACCAGTTCACATATTCAGTTACAAGCTATTGGATTGCTTCAAATATCAGGGTAGCAATTCCTAGGTTTCATATTGTCTGGACCTGGAAATCCATTGTTTTTGTAAACTGGGTCAGGTGAATGAGTGAATCAATGCATTCCGCAGTTAGCAAGTTCAAGGCTATCAGCACAAGCCATAAAAAATGATAGGTTTTGTCTGACATGATGTTGGTACATGTACAATATCAGTCAAGAACATAAAGATCAACACAAACCTTCCCCAACCTGGTTGCTTCCAGAAGTTTGGGGTGCCAGCTCCAACCATTGTCCATATTGGCTGGGGCAGATGGAAGCTGAAGTCCCAAACACCTGGACAAGGCTTGCATACACATTAACATTACCCTTGATTAAATTAACCTACAGCAACTCTGACTATGACTACACAGTCAAGAGCTGGCAATGTGGGCCCAGAAAGGTCAGTAAAAAATAACTAGCATTTGCAGCCATGCCAAGAGAGTAAACTAATATGGAATTACAGGTGATAGTCTTCAAAGGAATGAAACTGAAACATTACTTATGAAGTGTGATGCATAACTAGGCAGCAGCTTATCCAATTACTGTTGCCTGTATAAAAGAAACCTGCAAAACCAAATTGCAAATAAAAAGGTTCCTTAGGTTCTTGAAAGAAACCGAAGTTCTTACAAACAGCCCTGTAAGGCAGGCCAAAACCATTACTACAAAAAAATACTGGTACCACGGATGAAAATAAATGCAGAACAAATCGTTTATGAAGTTAATGCACACCCAATGCAAGTTCTTCCCTACTGCAGGGCTATTCACTTCCAGATATAATGGGGGTTGTAGGGGAAAGAGATCACTGGCATTCAACAATATTCCTGGTCTCCAAGCAAGTACTTCTATTACCGCGTCAGAGCTGAAAGGAAGGCTCTGCAGGACAGCAGCTTGATTTTCCACGTGGCTGGTACTGCCTGGCAGACAACCCGAGCCTCGAGAAGGATTACTATGACAGGGCAACAATGCCCCGGTCCCCCACGTTTCAACCCACGTGGGAGACGGCGCAGTTACCTGGCCGCTCTCTTCCAGCAACTCCTTCGCTGTTTTCTTAAAGCCAGCCTGAACCAAGTGCTGGTGCATCAGCGCCAGCAGCTCTTTCTGCTCGCGGTCTACTGTCGCCATACTATTTTTCCGTGAGACTGGGAGGCAGCCAGCCTCAATCACGCTTGCATGCGCTTCATCAGTAAAGGCCCGATGTCGCAAGCTGGCGGGTGATGAACCATATGCCCCGCAACCTCCTGCTCCTTTGCCCTTTGACCGTGCATTGGCCGCCTACACGTCACTTCCTGTTCCCTCAGCAACAGCTCCACGAGACTTCTGGGAAACGTAGTCTTAAGCCAAGGTGACCATTACTTGTCTGAAAGTAATTGCATGACGTTCGTCCCTGAGCTGGGAGTCAAGAGTAGGCTCGTATCTTAAGGTTACTGCGGTGTTACACCCTAGAAAGAAATGTGAACCTGAGACACAGCCAGAATGTCAGGATCTTGAGGTCGAATTATGCATGGTGTGGAGAAACTGGAGAGGGAGATTTTTTTCTCCCATACTAGAACCCAGTGGTGTGGGGGCTGGAGAGGGGGAGACTTTCTACAAAGCTGATTAGTTGGATATTAGTGGACCAATTATTAGCACTGCTTTGGTTGTTGTCCGGCCACAGCACGGAGTATCCGTTTTCATTGCCAGGAATAAGCTCCAAAACGTAGGAAATAAAAAAGATGAATTTGTTTCTGCTCAGGTGTAGAGAGTCATTGTTTTACCCTAATCACTGCCAGTTGCTAAATGTGGGTGGTGAGAAGGAAGAGTCTTGGTTATGGATCTGAGCAAAGAGACAATCACCGCATGATTTCAGCAGCACTACCTGGGGTCTCCTGTTGTGGTTGCTGATAGACTGGTGTGCCCTGGCCAGTTACAGGCACTGTTAATGAACAGGCCAACAGGTTGCTTAACATCTGGTTATGGTTGAGAATGTGCTTGTGCAAAGGGCGCCTTACACCTTTTGCAAGGCCTCACAGAAATCAAGATTCATGTACACCCAGCCCCCGCTTTAGGCACAGGCCTCCATGTCTAACCCTAAACATGCCAAGATTAACTTGCAAAAGCATTGGTTTTTAAAATAGTTACTATATGTATTTCATTTTATGTTTAAAAGTTTTGTACCTGTCTTGTTTATCCTTGTTGATGTTGTTCAATCATAAAGTCATGCCCGACTCTTCGCAACCCCATGGACAACATTCCTCCAGGTTCTCCTTTGTCTATGCTTAGTGCTCTGAAATAAAATCCAAAAACAGCTGTTTACAACCGTCAATTATAAATAAGAAGCCAAAATGGATGGAAATGTATCTTTCACTAAAGTGCTTTACAAGCTTTTCCCTTTATTATATTTTTACAGTGCCCTACAGAAGTGCACACCCCACTTTGACTTTGTCACATTTTGTTGTGCTTCAGTGGGATTGAAATGTTATTTCATTGGCATTGTGACCACTCACTGTCCACAAGATACTCAGCACTGTGAAGGGGCAATTCATGTTTATCATGGCACAAAAGTTAAGTAAACAAAAACAAGCCAGCACCATCTGCTTGCATCAATATTTCCCCCCTTTGCAAGGACATGGTCAAACAAGCCCTGGTGCAACCTTTTGCCTCCAGAAGTCACATGCTGTCAATAGCTGAGTGGAGTCCACTGATAGGCCACTCCAGTGTCACATGATCTCAGATTAACTTCACCTGCTCCTGGAAGCCCCCAGAGTTTGGCCGAAGGCTTAGTAAAATAAGCAGCATCATGAAGACTGAGGAGCAACAAAGCAGCTTCAGGATACATTTGTGCAGAGCAATTTGGTTATAAAAAATACTCAGAGCAGCTAAAAAACACCCTGCCAATAATATTCCCCAGAGCAGCTTTACATCTCTTATTACAAAATGGAAAGAATATTCACCTTCCATGACAGTGACACTAAACACACAGTCAAAGTAACACTTGAGTGGTTTAAAAACAAGAAAGCCTAGATCTCAGTCTGACTGAGAAACTGACAAGAATTAAAGCTATCGTTCAGTGATGGCTCCCATTCAACTGGACAGAAGCAGTTTTGCCAAGAAGAGTAGACAAACATTGCAGGATCCAGATGTGCAAAACTGATAGAGCTTTGTCCAAGAAGAATTACATCTGTGATTGCTGCCAAGGGTGCTTCCACCAAATGTTGACTCAGGAGATGAATACTTATGCAAACAACACATGCCAGTTTTTGTTTACTTATGTTTTGTGCCACAATCAAAATATTTTGTACCTTCACCGTGTTGACAATCTTTGTATGTCAAGTGGTAACGATGCCAGTTAAATCTATTTCATTTCCAGGATGTAACACCACAAAACATGGAAAGGTCAAAGTAGGGGCGAATACTTCTGCAAGTCACTGTAAATCTCTTTCTCCCTTCTTACAATTTCATTTTGATCTTGTAATGATTGGTGCCAGCATGGAAATTCTCTACATATTAATAAAAAAGATCTGATTGGGTATGTAAAATGTAACTGGTGGTATGGAGGGAAGTTGTCCTTGTTTCCACATTCCTCATGGGATGGCACTACATAGAAATTGGCCCTTAGATTTGCATTGAAATCTAAAGTTGCTATGTAGCCCAGTCTACTTACTTGTTTTTCACAACTAGTTCTGGGTAGAAAAAATGGGATATGATTTGATGCACACAAGAGCACACAGTGGTCTGGTTTGCATAAATACTACTAAAATACTACAAAGAGGGTATTTTAAATTAACTCTTCCTCACTGCTACATCAGAGGAGGAAGGAGGAATGTGCAAATCTAAGTCACTCCTAGTTTCATTTTAGTCTTGCTGAGCTATGGTTCAGCCTTGTGGCACAACTATTGTGTCATGTTTTTGTGGCTCAAACATTTGACACCTTAATGGGAATTTTAAGTTTCTTATGGTACAGGTACTGATACTTGGATTCTGGGTGCTCTGGTTTAACTATCGTCTTTCTCAGATAAAGAATGATACTTGGGAAAAAGGATGCTTTATTGTTAATTTAAGAAGTTAAGCATTGAATTGGATTGACTCAATTGTAGAATTTACTTTCCTGGAGATCTTAAAAAGAGACATACAATAGTAAATATAGAGGTTGGACTTGGAAGCTACTCTTCTGCATCCAAGAGTATATCTAGTATATACAGTGGTACCTTGGCTCACGAACTTAATCTGTTCCAGGACTGTGGTCGTGACCCAAATTGATTGTGACCCAAGTCAAATTTCCCTATAAGGTTCAATGTAAATAAGGTTAATCCGTTCTGTAACTATTTTTTTTTACTCCAATGCGGAGTTCGCGACCCAAGGCAAAATTTTTCAGAAATTTTTGTTCATGACCCGATTTGGTCGTGAACTGAGGCGTTCGTGAGCTGAGGTATCACTGTATTTGAAACTAGCACTCATTCATGTAAGGAAAACAAGATTTTTTTAATACGAGGGCTGAAATACATGCAAGCTTCTGTATACATAGGTGTCACTGCTTGAAAATCTTCTTAACCCAATTACCGTCAGGTACACAATTGGGAAACCACTCATCTGTAAAGAACCACACTGGTTTCTTGGAAACTGCAATATAACTGAATATATAACTTTCTCATTTCTGTTATTTGAAAATAGTTTTTACCCAAGCATAAACGGCGCCCCATATTTAGCTTTTATGTAAACATTTCTCTAAGTAAATAGCACTTCCGTTTATCTAAATACTTGGTTATATCTCAAAATGCTGGACACCTACCAGACCATCTGACTAAATCAAGTTGTTTTTGCAGGCAGGTGGTTTTAGATTAAAAAACAGAATGTAGATATTCTGCTGCTCTGGGAAGCTGCTGACATTCAGTCTGTGTTGTCACAAATATACGAAGCTATACATAGGTGAATAACCAGCATGCCCCTCAGGATTGATACTTTTGGCAAAGGCAGCCAACTCTATTTTAAAACAGGCTAATAATGTCCTGGAGAGGCTTTTCTGGCTCTTGAACTATAGAACCAATGGCTGAATTGTTGGGAATTAAGAGGAAAGTTGGCCATGTTTCAGGAGGTTCTACAGATGTTTAAAAACATCACAAAAGCTATCTATAAGGTTATTGCCGAATCTAGAGCTAGGGATGGTAGAGAACATGCATTTCATGTATAAGCACCAAAGGACAGCAGGTTCCATTCCCTAGCACCTCCGGATACAAGGATCCAAGCCATGCTATCTGAGAAAGTCAGCTCTCTGAACCCTTGAAGAAGTACTCTCATTCACCACAGACAACAGTGGATTATATGGACCAGTGGACTGATCAGCTATAAGGTGGAGTCATATGCATCCCAAACAAATAGATTTAGTGGCATAAAGGTCAAAGATCTCCGGTAGCCCTTGTAGCAATGCAGAAAACAGAGGCTCCTCCATTTCAGGGTCATTGCTCACACACTCAGCTACAGCCACACACCCACTTCCATCTTTTCTCCTGGGCAGGGCTGCTTCTCAACAATGGTAGAATGGACATCTCAGGCTAGGTTAGCACATGCCTCAGCAAATTCAGAGTGCAGGACCCTTGGGTCTGATTCCTCTCTTACTCTCTTGGAACCACTCAGCATGGACTTCCTCCAAGCATCCATTCACCCCTGGTTCCCAGTCATGGTCACTTCCCCTGGTATATGCTCTGAAGAGCTTTGAGCCAGCTGCTCACACTTCCTTCAAGGGAGCCTTCTGGCTCCTGCATGCAACACTCAGCTTGGCCCATTCCACCACTGAATAATATCTGATTCCAAGAGGAGCTAGAAATTCCCATGCACTTCCTATTCTTTGTGTCATACCTGAATTCTAACCACAAACAGTGAAATCAGGCAGAGAATTTATCTGCAAGTTTTTCCGGTACTTTATTTTCCATGGGAAATTTCCCATGGAATAAGTTCGTTCTTAGCAGGGAATGAATGCCACCTGCAAGTGCCTGATTGGGCAAACTGGGCAGTTACAAAGTTGTTAGGAATTCTTTCATGCACTTGCCCTGTGTGTCAATGAAATACAGCCTGTCTGCATGTGAAATGAAGCTAATAAGCAGTGACTGCAAGGTAATGCAGTCACTGCAATGAAAGGTACGTATCTCAGCATCATTTGTGGAAGAGAATAGATCTGCAGTGAAAAAGATGGATGCTTGCTGGCATATCATGCACAGTTATACCTATACCTATTGGTATAGACCCCCAATCTCTGGGCGAGTC